TCATTTTAAATATAACTAAAAGTAAAGCAATTTTTTTCTAGTAATGTAATAAACATTCAAACTTTTATCAGGTCACTGGGGTAATAGAGCCAAAGAGTTAACCCAGTGTCAGAGTCTCAACAAAAAGGAACAAAAGTTTGTTAATAACCCTTTACTCAAAACCAGAGACAGGGATAGAGAAGTTTATGTTAGCTGTGATACAATGTAAGAATCTCTGAAATTATATCTGTATAACTCCCCCATCTTATATAATTTAGGCTGAATGACTTCTTGAGATTCTTTTCACTCTAAGATCCTAAAATAGAAGTTTGGGTTTATTTTAATTCAAAACTACACATATTCTTCAGAGAAATGTGAAGTTACAAAAGCATGATTTGAAAGGTTCATTGTAGCACAAGCAAGAACAGATGGCCCTAAATTCTGAGGAATGTTTTATTTTCTGGCCTTCAAGGAATACATTTCTTTTCTCTTAGGGATGAGGCCCAGATAGCCCTCTTTTCAAAAGAATGACAGGAGTTGGGGAGCTGTGCCCTGGAAGATAGTGCAGAGGGGGGAAGTGATGTTCCACTGACTGTTGGTATCACTGCTCCTTGTGTTTACATGTAGAAGGCAGTGTTTAACCACAGATAAAAATTCAGAGAGTCTGCAAGGTCTTGGTCCTTTTAAGTTTTATTTGTTTGTGTCCATTTCCTTGAAGATCTATCCAGTTTCCTGGATAATATTGGAATTATCCTTAAATACTGTCTCTCTACTGATGCCTTCCAAGTCTTTCTCCAGCCTGAATCTCTCCCCTGTTTTGTAGACTCGAGTGTCTTACTGCCCACTTGACATCTCCATTTGATAGGCATGTCAAACTTAGCAAGCTCAGCTCTGACCTCTTGATCTTCTCTCAAAACCTGCTCTTCTCACTGCCTTTCCTAAGTTAAGGGCAGTGCTATCCTTACGGTTCCCAGGCCCAAAACTTTGGAGTCATCTGTCTTTTCTTTCATATCCCATGTTTAAACTAACAGGAAATTCTGCTGGCTCTACCTTCCAAATATATCTAGAACCCAGCCACCTCTCTGTCCCTGGACCGATCTTGGTCTAAATTGACATCATCCCTGCCTCAGATTTGTGCGGTAGCTTACTAACGGTCTTCCTGTTGGTACCCTCTCCCTCCTCAGTCTGTTCTCACCACAGCAGCCTGAGCGATCCTGTTAAAACTAAGTCAAATCATATCACTGCTCTGCTCAAAAACCCTCCAAAGATCTTTTATCCCATTCAGAATAGAAAGCTGAAGTCCTCTACACCATTTGTACTCCTTAACCCATTACCTCTCTGACCTAATGTGTATCCCTCTTCTTTTTCCGTCACTCAGCTCCCGCATTAATTTTCCACACAGTCCTCACTCTTCCCTGAAAACTACCAGACATGCTGTCATGCCACCTCCAAGGGCCATTGCACCCACTGTTCTAAATGCTGCAAGGCCTTTCCTTAGACAATCCATTGCTTTCCTCTCACTTTTCGGTAAGTCCTCCACTGCCTGTCCTAGTTCAAATGGCACCAGTACTCCCAGCCCCTTTCCATGCTTTGTTTTTCTGTTTAGTACTTGTCAGTGTCTGATATTACATGTATTGTTTATTGTTTTTGTTTTCTCTCCTTACACTCCCAAGAATCTAAGTTTCATGAAAGGAGGAATTTACTAACTAAACGAAGTACTAACAAAATGCCTGGTACACATTACATTCTCAGTAAGCATTTGCTAGACGAATGAGCGAAGGTTCATAGTTAGTATGTAGACACAGAGGACTAGAAGGTGGGTGCTAGCTTCTGGACACAAGTGAACTCTAGCTAACTGGAAAGATAAGTATTTATATTTTTTCTAGATATCTCCTGAAAAAGGATATTCTGCCCCCCATTCCTTCATTATTCAGCTCAGTGTTCTCTTCTCAGTTCTGTTTGTTTCTTCACTTGCTCTTTTCTGTTTTTCCAAAGTGTTCTTGCTCTGTACCTGATTTCAAAGCAAATCCAAATGATGCCCTTTAGGATACTTCCCTGGAATTCTCCATCCCTCAGACAATGTCATCCTTTCTTTCCTATGTTTTCCCATTTTTCTTCATTCATGTAACATGTGTAGCTGATCAGTATGAATTCCCTTCTGCTCCAAATTTTAAGCATCTTGGGGGCAGAGAGTCTGTCTTTCGTTCTTCATTGGATCCATGGTACAGTGGTTTGCTTTCATAGATTTTCCATGCCTCTGTAGTGGATCTTCCTACCTAAAGTTCTTGTCACTTGATAAATGTTTACAGAACGGAATCATTAAAACCTATTTTATTAGATACTTAATCTACATGACCCTGCAATTGTAAGCGAGCCAAAATTTTTAAAAAATTTATGCTAACAACATTTACTATCAGTATAATTCCATGTATAAGGCAAACCCTCCAAATCCATCCCTACTTATATGGCATACTAATTAATATATTCAGCAAATATTTATTGAGCATCTGCCCTGAGCAAGGCCCTGTGCTAATAAGCCTTACACATCATATACAAGTTTTATAACTGTTCCTCAAGGCCATGATTAAATTTATCTATTACAAGCCCTTTCTACTTCAAATCAAAAAGCTGAATCAACTGCCATTTTTTAAAATATTTTGTTTATTTAATTTTAGACAGAGGGGAAAGGAAAGAGAGAGGGAGAGAAACATCAATGTGTGGTTACCTCTCAAGCACCCTCCACTGGGGACCTGGCCCTTAACCCAGATATGTGTCCTGACTGGGAATCGAACTGGCAACCCCTTGGTTCCCAGGCTAGCACTCAGTCCACTAAGCCACACCAGCCAGGACTCAACTGTCATTTTTAACATGAGATGTCAGAGAAGAAATTGAAAGGCATGGCATGTTCAGAAGTGAATTAGGTGTAATAACTCCTTACACATTTCTTCAGCACAGTCATTCCTAGAACTATATTCTGTCATTGGCTCTTGTGATCTTCATCGATGGTTAGACTCCAGCAGTGGGAAATATAAAAGATAAGGTTTATGCACTACTTCATTTGGTATCTTAAAATGGTTCTTTCAAGATAAGACCCATATATCATTAGCTCAGTGCCTGGCTCACAGTTGGTGCTCCATATGTGTTAGCTATTTTGCACAGACTGTTTTCACAGCATTTGCTTTTCTGCCTTTTATTAGTATGTCATCACTAATTTTTTATTTCTTAGGAAGATCCTGAATCCCATTATCTAATAGAGGTACTGGATTGAATTATTTGCTGCAGATTTTAAGGTTGACTTATGATTTCATAAACAAGGTGGAGAAAGCAAGCATATAAATTTTATTTAACAAACAGTACTTATTATGTTCTTGGTGCTGTTCTAAGCCCTTTACAAATATTTATTTAATACTCATAATTATATGAAATAATTACTTTCACTATTTCATTTTATATAGGAGGAAACTGGGACACAGAGAAATCAAATAACTTACCCAAGGGCACAGGCTAATTAGTTTCAAAACCAGGACCAAAGTATAAGCAGTCTTACTTGAGTCCTTGCTCTTAATCCAAGTCTGGATGTGGGTAATGTCACATAAGGAATACAAAGAGTGTGCTGTGGCATTTCAAAGAAAGCAGTCGTCACATTGGTGTCTAATTGAGAGTTAAAGAAGGCTACATGCAGGAACTGCTATTTTAGTAAGCTTTGATTTTGGGGGGCAGCTTTTTCAGGTGCTTGGATATGGGAGAGGGAAAGCAAGGTGGACTAAGTAATAACATATGCTAAAGCTCGCAGATGGGAAATAGTGCTGCATCAGGAAGCATTCCTGTATATAAGGATATACAGTCAGAAGGGAAACAAGACAGAAAGCTGGTTTGTAGCTAGAGCGACAAAAAATATGTGGTTGCCTCTGGCACAACCCCTACTGGAGACCTGGCCCACAACCCAGGCATGCACCCTGACTGGGAATTGAACCGGCAACCCATTGGTTCACAGGCCAGCGCTCAGTCCACCGAGCTACACCAGCCAGGGTTCATCTGATATTTTTTCACACTGTGGTAATTCAACTTATAAGTGGAAGAGTGGAGTAAAATAAAAGTTGTGGACTAGATTTTTAAAAGATTGAAGCCATTTTAAAGGACTGAATTAGAAAGTTAGACAAATTGGATAGCATGAAGTGAAAAATAGGAAATAAAAAACAATTATTAGCTTCTTTCAATCAAAAGCCAGAATTTAACAGCAAGATGATATATAAGTTCAGATTTGTTTACTAGATGCAAAATGAGTTTTTACATTAGCTTCAGAATTACCATATTTTGTGGTGTGTAATGCACGCTTTTTTGCCCAAATTTTTGAGGGGAAAAATAAGGGTGCGCATTATACGTGGGTATAATGATTACATGCCATGGGTGTAATAGTGGGTATAATCCATGGATAATGAGCACAAAATGTGGTTGTGCATCATACATGGCGAAATATAGAATCATTTAAAATCCTTTGATAAGAACAAAGCAAAGTATTAGTAAATGATTTCAATGAAGATATCACGCATAGATTAGTAAAACTAAGAAGCAATGGAGTTTATATATTTTACAAAAAGGTCTCACTCCTTTATATGGCCATAGAAAAAGATGACAGACACACTTAAATATGGGACTTTCTTTTGACTTAGAATTTAAGTATAAATATGTCTTAAGAGACTCCACTGGATAACAGAAACTACTGTAATTAGCTCAACTAATTTTAGTTTAGTGCAGCAGTAAAAGACAAATGAATGCAAAATGTGTCATATGCCTAGGTTACAATACGAATCACCTATAAACTATACAGAGAATTTTTGTATTTGTTTATTTGACTGATTTTTCACTTTGTTTTTATTATTCAGAGCCCCTTTGTCACTGTAATAAATAGTAATATTGTTTTGTCTTTGAAGGTGAAGGAGTTATGCCATGTCAGACCAAAAAAAAAAAAAGCCCTTTCTTGCAGAATAAGAAAGAAAGCTAATCCTCTTCTCTGACTACAGATGATGAAGGCCATGAACAAGTCAAACGAGCACGTCCTGGCGGGAGGGGCCTGCTTCAATGAGAAGGCAGACTCGCATCTCGTGTGTGTGCAGAATGATGATGGGAACTACCAGACCCAGGCTATCAGTATTCACAATCAGCCCAGAAAGGGTGAGTATTTGAGCTAATCGAGATTATGAGAAGGGAAGATTGTAATGGACGTGGAGTTGGATATCTCAACCCTGTAGCACTTACTTTCTAGAAAGGTGACCACAAACAACTTGGTTAAACTAACCTTTCCAACCTTATTCTCCAGGGTGAGGTTGATTCCGGAAGCAACCAGTCTGAGAGTTGCAAATGGAATCTCTGTTATGGAGGGGGAACTAAAAAATACTGCCCCAGGGTTTTGACAGGGCCCCAGTGGTATTTGAAGTTAGTGACTAAGCCCCATGGTGAGAATATACTTAGATATGGAGCTTCTTGAATGACCATACTCAAAGAATGTTAATTAATAGGTTGACAGGATTCTGAAGAAAGTTTCCATGATTCAGTGGTGCTCAGAATGTGGTCTCACCACTTAAGGGATTGTTAGAAATGAAGAATCTACACCCAAGGTCTGCTAGATCAGAATTTGCATTTTAACACAATCCCCATGTGATTCATATGCACTTACCAATTTAAGGATCACTGCTTAGTGTGGCATTTCCTGCAGTGTCTTCCCAGGTTTTATGGTTTTAAAAAACATTCAGCCCTGGCTGGGTACTCAGTTGGTTAGAGCATTGTCCTGATAAGCCAAGGCTGCTGTTCGATCTCCAGTCAGAGCACAGACAAGAAGCAAGCAATGAGTGCCTGAATGAGGGGCACAACAATTGATGTCTGTGTCTCTGTCTCCGTCTCTGTCTCTCTCTCTCTCTGTTTTTCTCTCCCCCTCTTCTCCTTCCTCTCTCTTTTTAGAAAATCAAGAAGTAAAAAAAATTAAATATTCAAATAAATAGATAAAAGTCTTCCTTAATACATTAAACTGAGGAATCCTGCATTAAAGAAGTTTAAACAGATTTCTTCACTATAGGACTTTTCAGAGCCTTTAACAAGCTGATGTATGTTATGACCTTCCCAAAGGAGGAGCATGCCTCGCCCTTCCTAAATTTATTTGACCATGAATCTTCTTTCCCTCAGAATCTATCTTAAAACTAGCTTTCTTTAGTATGCTTTACGAAACACTCCTCTAGAAGACATACTGTATGTCACTATCTTTAATATGTATTTTAAATCAGTTGTTTGATAAACGCATGAAAAGTATTTAGCTTGTATATACTCAAATACAATGGCCAAAGTAAGGTAGGTATAACAAATCTACAGTGCTCCCTATTATTCACCTCAGACGTAGAAAATTTGATCAGCACGTGAGTTTTGACCTGCTCTGTTTCCGACCTGGGCCAATTCACCCCTCCTTAGGCAACCTGGTGGCGCACCACCCCCCACCCCCACCCCCGGAGGTCACCATATTGATGCCGAACTTAGTGCGGTCACCCGATCGGCATAGCGCACTGCAGCCCAGAACTCCTGGGCTCAAGCGACCCTCCTGCCTCAGCCTCCGGAGTAGCTGGGACTACAGGTGCGCGCCACCACGCCCGCAGACCTAGAAAATTTGAATATGTTCTGGATCTCATTAACATAACTGCTGCTCTCCACTGGTGCAACTGGGGGTTCTTTAGAGGATGACTCAAGACCTGTAAGAAATCTGGAAATTAGATCAAAGGAAGATATCTTGACTGAAGCATAAATGTTTAACCTGAAAAAGTACAGATTGAAAGAGTGAAAAATAGCTATTTCTATATTTAAGATTTTCTATTATGTGGAAATAAGATCCAACTTACTCTCTATAGCTACAAAAGGCTAAAACCGGCACCAATGAGGGAAAGTAACAAGCATCTAAGTTTGGCCTCAATTTGAGAACGCACACTAGCACTGAGATTATCTAGCAGGAGAATGGACTGCCTTGTGCTATTGTGGCTTCTCGTCGTCAGGAGTCGTGACAAAGGCTGGTTGACCTACCTGTTAGGTGTTGGGTAGAAAGTTGGAACAGCTCAGTCCAATTTAAGAGGTGGGAGAGAAAGACAGTTTAGTGAAGTTTTCATGAAGTTCAGTGTATTAAATATCCTTTCTTTTATGAAGAGACAGTAGTATCAGGTGTTTTTTAAATAGGTCTTCTTTTTTCTTAATAGTTCCACTTGGTAAATAAAATAGTTGACAAACATGTCACTATATTCAAAATATATTTGACCTAAAACAAACAAACAAACAAACAAACAAACAAACCTGGAAACCAGTGAATTAGATCAGGAGTCAGCAGACTTTTTCCGTATATTTTAGTTTTGCAGGCCTGCAGTGTTTGTTGCCAACGACCCAACTCTGTGACATCACACTTCAAAAACTGTTACAGACGGTGTGTAAATGAATGGCCATGGCTGTGTTCCAATATTGTTTCATTTAGAGAAACAGGCTTAAATTAAGGCCAAGCCCTAGAATTGGCCACTAAGATTTCTTTGCTTATAAGATTCTTTGATTCTTGATTGGAGCAAAAGAAAATGGGAGAGTATATCCTAAAACCTCATTCCCTACCTGTCATAAGCATCGAATTACTGGTTACTTGCATATGAGGGTGTGTGGAGTTGGCATTGTTTGCTTTCTAGATGGTGATGGTTGGAGTTCCCAACTACTGAATGTTTTATTATTATTCTCAGTCCCTCCACCTCAGGGTCTGTCTTCACCAAACTGTTTCTCTTGCTGTTGCAGTGACTGGCGCCAGTTTCTTTGTGTTCAGTGGCGCTCTGAAGTCCTCTTCAGGCTATCTTGCCAAGTCCAGTATTGTGGAAGGTAAATAATGAGTTAAGCACTGTGTGTACATTAGTTCAGTCCCAAAAGTGAAAGCTTCCTAAAGGAAGCTTTGACATTTTTGCCATAGACTTCTGGACTCATTATCATTCATTCAATAGCATCTTACTCTTCAGCTAATTAAAACTGTCATAATGGTGCTTAGTTCTCCAAAAGGAGATGAGTGGTAGAGATACGGTACAACAGTACATAAAAATTAAGAGATGACCTTTCAGGACTTTGGGATAAGGTATCCAAGGGGACATAGTCTGAGTTTAAATGTATCAATCATTGGGCACAAATCTATAAATATGTAGATGAAGCTCAGCCCCTCTTACCCACAAGAACATTGCAAGTCATCATTTGGGATACAGGAGAAACTTTGTTGGGTCTAAGGTGAAATCAGAATGTGAGTGTTTTAAGCAGAACACATCGTGGTGTTTGCTTCTCATAGCACTTTCAGTAAGTAAGAGTTTGGCTCAAAGAACAAAACTCGCTTGTGCCTGTCAGCTTTAGAGAGCAGAGCAAAGTTTTACATTTAATCCTAGAGGGGTTGCTAGATTCCAGGTGCTGGTTTTCCCCTGCGTCTCTCCCTTTCGTCGCTCTCACCTGCATTGTCTTGGTGCCGATTCTCAGACGGCGTTATGGTCCAGATCACTGCAGAGAACATGGATGCCTTGCGGCAGGCCCTGCGAGAGATGAAGGACTTCACCATCACCTGTGGCAAGGCGGATGCTGAGGATCCGCAGGAGCTCATCCACATCCAGTGGGTGGACGACGACAAGAACGTCAACAAGGGGTAAACGCAGCAAACTTGGCACTAGTTACGGGCTAGGCTCTGGGTTTGTCTACGCTGCTGTTTTATAACTTAAGTGAAGAGAAAGGACCGCTTTGTATACATAACATAGAATTTTAAATTCTGGTTTCTTGGCTTCATTTCTGAAAGAGTTTCTGTCCATATTTCTGAAGGAAGGAGGAGGGGAAGAGTTGATGAAACAAAATTCCTCTAAAATCACTCAGATAATAGTAATGCCTGAGCCTTTTATGGTTTAAAGCATTTCTGCTGATATTGTTTAATTTGATAGAAGTATTGTTATTCCATATTACCAATGAGTAAACAGCACCGAAAGGCTAAGTGACCTCACAGTGCTAGGAAGTGGCAGGGCCAGGACCACCTCCTTGGGCGTCAAGTGCTGCACTCTTTCCCAACTGATAAGTGGCTCAGTCTGGTTCTGAAATAATTATAAATAAGTTCACCAAAGTATGGAAAACACTGTAGGATAATGTAAGGATAAAAAAAGAAAAGGAAGCTTGTAGAGGTTGTGGGGCAGTATTCAAGAGCGACTTCACAGAGAAATGGCTGCTACTTAAGCTGAATCTGGTAAGATGAGTAGGTGTGTGCCGCTTAGCTGTGGTGGAGTAGGGATTCCAGCCTGAGGGGATAGCAGGAGCAAAGGCAGATGGAGGGCATTTACAATACGGCATCCGGCTTTTTTTATAGGTTTAAAAACTCATTATTTAACAAAAGGAAGCAATTTCTAAATCAGTGAGTGTATTTGCCTATTTTTAAAGATTTTATTTATTTTTAGAGAGAGGAGAAGGGAGAGAGAAAGAGAGAGAGAAAAACATCGATGTGAGAAACATTGATCGGTTGCCTCTTGTACATGCCCCGACCAGGGACCGAACCTAGGGCAACCCAGACACCGTCCTGACCCATAATAGAACTGATGACCTTTTGCTTTGTGGGACGATGCCTAACCGAGCCACACGGTCAGGGATCCTATTTTCTTTTTTACAAATAACCCTTTATCTTCCCATACTTCACTGAAAAATTTAATTTCAGAATCAATTTGTGTTTAATTCTCTATTATAGTTGGAAATGGACATGGTTATTAGGTTCAAAAAATCGATAACCTGAAAATCTGATGCCATAACATATTGGTAACTAACAAGCAACAAGTTGCCCCTTCCTACAAGGGCCATTGGCAGCATCTCAGAAAACAGGACAAGCACTGGTCAGGGAAGCCTCTCGAACTAGGGAGTTTAGTTTGTAGTGTGTGAATGGAATGTTTTCCAGTTTGTCCCTCTGTCTGGGTACCTTCTCTTGAAAGAGTGCTAACCAGCTCAGGGTGTTCTTTTCTTGACATTGTTGTGTGATGAATTTGCAATTAAACTTAACATTGTTTAATTTTAATTCAAGCAAATCCCTGATATTGAAGTTTAAGTTAAATTTTACCTTAATATACATAGAGATTGAAAAACATAAACAGATTTGAACATTGTTAGGAAGCATTTGGAATCTTTGTGATTCCGTTTATTTTGGATCCTCATCTCCACCAGTATTTCCACATACTTATACGTGTTATATTTTGGAGAGGAAATGACTATAAAAAGGGGGCTAGGTTCCTGTAAAGTTTCTGTTCAGAAACCTAGGAATGATGATTTAGCTGTGAAGGGAATTTGTTGAGGTAATATAGATACTTGTTCATCAGTTCACTCCAGCACTATCATAATTAGTGTAATCAGTTAAATAATTCTTTCAATCGTAAACATTCATTAAACTCCTACATTCCAAGCGGTGTGTCAGAACCGAGAATATAGCGCACAAAGGCGAGTACATCATAGTCCTCCCCTTCAGAAGTTCCTTTGTAAGGCAGATCCACAAGTGTATGAAGAATCTAACATGGCAGATGTTACTACAGCCAGGAGCAGAGGGGACAGAGCTGTGGCAGCACAGGGGTGAGCAGGACGGGGTGGGTGGCCCTGCATTCACTGGAGGAAGGAATGCTGGAGGAAGAGAGCAGGTTTGAGTGAACAGTTTCTTTATGTTAAAAGAACCAGCTCCTGGAATCATGAGTCTTTTTGTGTGTGTGTTCTTTCAGTTATTTTAGTGAAAATAAACAAATAAAGAGCACCCCGCGAGTGCTCTGTTCACGTACGTTTTTGTGCAGTGGCTCCTTGCTGTGATATGTTGCACAGATGTGTTTGGTAAGATACCCAGTATAATTAGTAGCAAGACTTGGTAAGAGAAGTGGCTCTTCCAACTTCTAGAGCTGCTTCCATCTCTCCTCTTTGACTCTGTTTTAGTGTCGTCAGTCCTATAGACGGGAAGTGCATGGAGTCTATAATAAGTGTGAAGATATTCCACGGATCGGAGTATAAAGCAAATGGAAAAGTCATTAGATGGACAGAGGTAAGGAAGTAAAACTTCGCATTCATGACCCCCTTTGAGCACAATGTTTTGCTGGACCCAGAGACACATTTGGAAGTTAAGACAAAAAATCTATTTGTCTTCTATACTCTAATTCCTCTGGTGTGTCACAGGTCACTGGGAAGAAATGCCAGCAAGAGCAGGCTGCACATTGGTGTCTCCTCCTTCCTATGAACTAGTAGGGATTTGTTTGCATTGGCATTCACAAAGGGTACATCTCCGAATGGTGCATACCGTCTTTAACGTGTGGCTCAGAAAGCTGGGCTAGTGATGCTGCACTCACAGTTAAACTACCTTAGATAACACAGTCTTAAAAAATTGATTTATTTCACCAATAAGAAAACTAGTGTGTCAACTGTAATTTTAAAAGAAAACTAAAGTGTGGAGACTGAGTAACTTGTCCAAGAATACGTGGTAAATAAGTAACGTCAAAGTCCTTCTGATTCAAACCCAGATCTGACCAACTCCTAAGCTCTCTTTCACTACATGGTTCCCTACCGTGAAAGCAGTATTAGAGGCTAGTCTGGAAATGGGAGGAGCAGATCAGAGGCCCCGCGTGTGTGTGCACATCAGACAGATCAGGAAGAGGTGGGCCCTAGGTCTCTCAATTTCTTTTGAACTTTATTTATACTTATCTGTAAAGTAAGCCATTAAGTTAAAGATCTCTAAGAGTCCTTGCAGCTTTAGAAGCAATTTTTTAAACCATTCTGTGACTTCTAACTTTTCCATTTTACACAGAAGGTAACTGGGGCCATGAGGGGTTAAGCGTCTTATCCAGGCTCACATAGCTGGTTCCTGATAGCAGGGACTAGAATCTGGTTCTTCAGTTCTTGAGCCGTTGTTGAAAGTATCTTATCCTTCATATCAGGCTGCATTTTCATACACAGCTCGGTGGTCTTAGCTGCTTGCTGTATGATTATGCCTTTGGCACATTTTGAGTAGTGCATACTCTGAAACGCATGAAACTTGATTGCTTACAAAGTACTTTGACCTCCATTTCCTCCATTTTGTTCCCCAGTAACCCCATGAGGTAGGGAGGTGACCCACTCATTTGCATGATGAGAAATGCTCAGAGAGGCTGTGTGACTCTGTGACTTGCCTGATGCTAGTTAGTGGAAGAGCAAAGGCCAAGGCCTCTTGGCTCCTATTCTAGAGCTTTTTCCATAATTTCATGCTGTCACTTTCACGGGACAGGTCTGCATAGCTGACCCCTTTTTAGTACCATTCGTATAAGCCGCTTACTGAGCAGTAAGCTAGGGTTGGTATATATAAGCAAAACATGCTTATATGTCATTTATTCTTTGAGAGGACCGGTGGTTTCCATTTTATGAAGTCACATGGGGCATAAGAAGCCAAAGGACATGGCTGTCCTCCTCCTGTGTGGGACGAGGACTCCAGTCTCTCAGTTCCAAATTTGCTGTGCTTCTGCCTGTGCCCATGCAGTGGACACTGACACAGCTCTGGCCTCGGCAGTGGCAAGGCCACCTGGCGGGAAGGACTCTGTGATAAGAGGCAGAAGACCCATATGCTGGGCTTAACCCTACCTCTGTTTCTCAGTGCTTATATCTTATATGCACCCAGGTGAGCCACCTCCCTTCTGTGAGTAATCTATGATATAAAGGGTTTGGGTCACGTAAGCTATAAGGGCCATTCCCTTAGATTCTAAGATCAATTCCTAAGAAAACCACCCACATATAGGAATTAATGTTTTAGAAGTGCACAGTGGAAAATGTAAGCTTTTCCTGGTTCTGAGTAGAATGGTTCTGGTACCATTAGGACCCTGACACAGCTTTTGGGGAGACAGGCAGTTTGGTCCTGCCACTGTGTAGATGCAGAGACTAGCGGTCACTCCTCAGGTGTCAGATGTCAGTGCCCTGTTCTTGGCCCAAGGACTCGGAAGTACCCTGTCTGTGAGGTCTTCTTGCACACCTCAGGAGGTCAGGGTGCTCATGCACGGAGAGCTGATGCACTTGTTTCTCCCTGCGTCTACTGGGGCACAAGGTTGAAGTCTCTCGTTTGGGAAACAGGTGTTTTTCCTAGAAAACGACGACCAGCACAGTTGCCTGAGTGACCCAGCAGATCACAGCCGACTGACTGAGCACATTGCCAAGGCTTTTTGCCTTGCTCTCTGTCCCCACCTGAAGCTTCTGAAGGAAGATGGAATGACTAAACTGGGACTGCGTGTGACACTTGACTCAGATCAGGTAAGAAGACTCTTCAGTAGCTTTCTGATGTGTGTTTTCCTGTGTCAACCCAGAGAGTTTCCTTCTCTGGACCTTGGGCCTGACCCGGTGTAGTTTTCTGGCCTCCCCACCTGTAGAAATACACCTTGATGTGCTGTTTGATCAGACTCTGGATCATGTGAACCGTGGCTTCCTCACCTAAATATGTTGCAAGGACTTGGTTTTCTTTCTAGGGTTAGGAGAAGTGTGTGCAAAGACCTGCCACCCCTGTGTGAGTGACATGAATGCTGCCCTTTGAGACTCCTCGGTCCCGCCCTTCAGGGATCAGTCTGCCCTTCACAGAGGGCAGGTCCAGGCTGTCCTGTATCCTGTTTTCTTAATCTGAGCCCAGCGGGCCTCTGCTGACTGGCCTCTGCAGCGCCCACCCCTTAAGGTCTTCTTACTGTGAACATTTCCAAGTTTGAGCTGTTTCCTCATTAATTTTCCTGTCATCTCGGCTCTCCTATGGTCAAGCTTCTCTCCCAGTCTTACTCAAATTTTTCTTTTGTTGTTAGAAGTAACAATCCATTCTTAGCACATGTGCCTCCCTCCCCCAATACCTTGTCCTGTTGCCTCTCCTGTGGGCCAGCACTGTAAGCTCTCCACAGGCACACCTCGGAGATAAGTGGGCCCCGTTCCAGACCACCACGATACATGACTATTGGAGTACAGCAAGTCTGGGTTTCCCAGTGCGTGTCAGAGTCATGTTTACACTATACTGTGGTGTAAATAAGTGTGCAGTAGCCTTAAGTCTAAAAAAATGTACAGACCTTAATTAAAAATACTTTATTGCTAAAACATGCTAGCTATTATCTGAGCCTTCCATGAGTCATAATCTTTTGGCTGGTCAGGGGTTTTGACTCAGCATTGATGGCTACTGACTGGTCCGGCTGGGGATTGCTGATGATTGTTTGACTGTGACGACAATTTCTTAAAATAAGACAACAACGTAGTTTTATGCATCGATTGACTTCCTGTCACAAACACTTCCTCTGTAGCATGTGATGCTGTTTGATAGCATTTTACTAACAATAGAACTTTCAAAACTGGAGTCAGTTCTCTCAAATCCTTTCATTGCTTTGTCAACTAAGTTTATGTAACATTCTAAATCCTTTGTTTCAACAGTCTTCACAGCTTTTTCACCAGGAGTAGACTCTATCTGAAGAAACTACTTTCTTTGCTTACCCATAAGAAGAGAAGCAACTCCTCATCTATTAAAGTTTCATCATGAGACTGCAGTAGTTCAGTCTCACCTTCAGGCTCCACTTCTAATTCTAGGTCTCCTGCTATTTCTGCCACATCTGCAGTTGCTTCCTCCACTGGACTCTTGAACCCCTGAAAGTCGTTCATGAGGGATGCAATGAACTTCCCAACTCCTGTTAATGCTGATATTTTGACCTGTTTCCATGAATTATGAATGTTCTTAATATCACCTAAGAATAGTGAATCCTTTCCAGAAAGTTTTGAATTTCCTTTGTCTAGATCCATCAAAGTAATCTCTTATCTGTTGCAATTATAGCCTTAAAAAATGTATGTCTTAAAAAGACTTGAAAATCTGAAGTGTGTTAGCTGGCAGTGTACATCTCCATCAGAGCTCTTGGGTGACCAAGTGCATTGTCAGTGAGCCATAATATTTTGAAAGGAGTCTTTCTGAGCAGTGGGTCTAGATATGGGCTTAAAATATTCAGTAAACCATGTTGTAAACAGCTGTGCTGCCATCCAGGCAGAGTAGATTTAGTATAATCATTAGGGCCCCAGGGTTTTCAGGATGGTGAATGAGCATTGGCTTCAACTGAAAGTCACCAGCTGCACTGGCCCCTAACAAGAGAGTCAGCCTGTCCTTTGAAGCTTAAAGCCAGCCACTGACTTTTCCTCTCTCACTGTGCAAATCCTAGATGGTGTGGGGTTCTTTTTCCCCATTATAAGGCTGTTTTGTGTCCATTGAAATTTGTTACTTAGTTCAGCCACCTCACTAATTATCTTAGCTAGATCTTCTGGATAATTTGCACCCTCACTTGCTGCTCCACCTTGCCCTTTGTATGGAGAGGGCCTCTTTCCTTAAACCTCTCTCGGCCTTCACAGAAGTGAAGAGTTGGGGCCTTGCTCTGGATTAGGCTTTGGCTTGAGGGAATGTACTGGTTTGATCTTCCATCCAGACCACTGAAACTTTCTCGTATCAGCAGTAAGGCTGTACACTTCGTTAGCATTCATGTTCACTGGAGTAGCACTTACAATTTCCTTCAAGAATGCTTCCTCTGTATTCACAACTTGGCTGTTTTGCATAAGAGGCCTAGCTTTTGGCCTGTCTGAGCTATGGACGACCCGTCCTCACTAAGCTTATTCATTTCTAGCTTTTGACTTAAAGTGAGAGATGTATGTCTCTTCCTTTTACTTGAACATTGAGAAGCCATTATAGGGTTATTAATTGGCCTAATTTGAATATTGTTATGTCTCAGGGCCTAGGGAGGCCTGAGGAGAGGGAGAGAGGGGGGTAACGGCCAGTCTTTGTAGCAGTCAGAACACACACATTTATTGATTGAGTTCACCATCTTGTATGTGCGCGCAGTTAGTGGCACCTCAAAACATTTACCATAGTAACATCAAAGATCACTGATTGGAGATCACCATAACAAATGTAACAATAATAAAAAAGTTTGATATACTTCTAGAGTTACCAGAACATGACACAGAAACACAGTGAACCAATGCTGGAAAAGCGGTGTCTGATAGACTTGCTCAGTGCAAGGTTGCCACAGTCCTTTGGTTTGTGAAGAACTCAATATCCATAAAGCACAGCAAAGCAAAGTGGAATAGAACAAGCTGCGCCCGTACATCTTGGATTCTGGATCCCTGTGACATGTCCCAGTGCACCTGCTTTGACGCAAAGCTGCATCATTCTCAGGGAGAATGTGAAAGGTTATGGATCTGGCTCCATTCCTGACTAGTCATCAGTCAACAAGTACATGTTTTCTATGTAAGGCCTTTCCCAGTGCTGTACTAAGCACCTCAGGGTAATACACGTGCAGGATCATGGTCCTTTGTCACACGGAACTAGTAATCTGGTTGGAAAGACAGAACTCATGTGAAACAATTAAAAAACAAGAGTTTTCTGCTAATGAGTGGAACTCTTGAGGGCAGGGGCCCTGTTCCATTAATCTTTGAATTTCTGGGTTTGTAAGTGCTCAAAACGGTGTGTGGACAGATGATTGGCAGAATAAGTGCTCAGTTCCTGCTATGTTAGGGAGTTACCGTATTTTCCTGTATATAACGCACACCCACGTTTTTGTGCACATTATACATGGGATTACTATACCCACGGTATGTGATTATTATACCCGTGTATAATGTGCATCCTTATTTTTACCTCAGAAATTTGGGCAAAAGTGTGCATTATACACAGCAGATTACAATATCTAGTGTATTTCCCATTTTCATTGTCACAACCATAGATTTAGGTAATATTTCCAACTTTCCATATCTCCCTATATCACCCCAACCCCATCTCAGGAAACTAAGACTCTAACAGGATTAGGTTAAGTGTCTTGCCCAAGTTCTCATGACCACCAAGTGTTAGGGGTCAGGATGATAAATGACAATTCAGGGAAAAGGAGGAGAAATTGGTGTTAACTGCTGTGTGTCTGGCCCATGTCCAGGAAGGACATCTCCTTTCCTGCTCAGCCTCCTTGGCCCTCAGCCCTCTGAAGAGACCTTCTCTATCCAGTAACCTGTCATCCCCTTCTCTCTGCGGTGTAGGTTGGCTACCAAGCAGGGAGCAATGGCCAGCCCCTTCCCTCGCAGTACATGAACGACCTGGACAGCGCTCTGGTGCCGGTGATCCATGGAGGGGCCTGCCAGCTCAGTGAGGGCCCCATCGTCATGGAACTCATCTTTTATATTCTGGAAAACATCACATAGACAGAGGACTTCATTTTTTTCTGTTCAGACCTGTTGCAATAGCAGTCATACCCAAGTCATTTGCACTTTAGAACTGGAAGATTAAGCTTTTGTTAACACTATTAATGGGGGGGGGGAGTGGGAGTTTGGGGGACTAGGGTGGGAAAGGGTGGTTGGGGGGACAGATGTTCCATAATTCTAAGTCTTCTATGCATTGTCCACCAAGAAGACGTGGGCAGCTTCCGTTACTGCACGACAGTTATGCTATCCTCGCAGCTAATCTTCTTCTGTTACTGTTTAGACAAGAATTCTGCTCCTATTTTAAGACTTACTTATGGTCTTGTGCTCAGAAATGCTCAAATGGATACAAACATCACCGAGGGTGGGGTGGGAGAGTGGAGGGGAAATAAAAAATGAAGCATCAGTCTTGTACCCTTTGTACAGAATTGATATAAAAAGGAGAGTGTCACACTGATCTTGTCCTATTTACATCCCACTAACTTCAAGTAGAAGTCACAATTAGATTTGTTTTGTTTTTAACAGATTGTCCAACGGATTATCCCTCTTCTAGCCAAGAAGGGGCAACTCAGTGTAAATGAGGTGATTGGGATAGCAGAGCCGAGTCCAGGATTGCTCAAGATCTGTCCAGGTCAATGGCAGGTATTGAGTTGGGCCTTTCTGTGAAAGCTGACAATGCTTTAAGATATTCTTAGTTATAATGTACACTAGAAATATTTTTTAAAACATTTTGAGAAATAATTTAAACTTCCAAGGAGGTTGCAAGTACAAAAAAAATCCTATGTATGCTTTACTTAAGATTTAGCTACTGTTCACATATTAACATTTTGCCTCATTTGCTATATTTGTGTCTCTCCATAAAAAATGGAGGCATTTGGCTCTGGCTGGTGTGACTTAGTCTTTGAGTGCCAGCTTGTGAATCAAAGGGTCACTGGTTCAATTCCCAGTCAGGGCATATGCCTGGGTTGCAGGCCAGGTCCCCAGTAGGGGGTGTGGGAGAGGCAACCACACATTGATGTTTCTCTCCACCTCTCTCCCCCTTCCCCCCCCCCCCAAAAAAATTTTTTTTTAAAAAGGAGGCATTTGAGAGCAAGCTGCATACCTAATAGCCTTTTACCCTGAGATACTTTAATGCTTATTTCCTAAAATTAAGGATATCCTCTTGCATTACAGCAGGATAGCTCGCAACCTCAGTCAGCCTAACACTAATGTGCTGCCTTACCCAGGCATCTGCCCAACAATGTCCCTCATGGAACTTTCCCCTTCCCTAAAGCTTCCAGCCTAGGATCAGACATGGCAAGTAGCTTTCCTGACCCCACTTTATCTTATATGTCCTCCATTATTTTTGGTGATTATAGTTCCCTGACCCCATTTTTTAATAGAAAATGCCTCATTTGAAAAAATAATCTTTTCATAATTAGAATCAGTATATGCATTCTTGGCCAGAACCCCACCTAAGTGACGTGTCCTTTTTAGGGACTCACCACCTCTGGGGGTCACTTGATACCTCCACCTGCCCCTCATGGATGATGGTAAATTAGATCACCTGGTCAAAGTGTCGTCTAATTTCTTCAGCATTTTTCCCCCTTGGAATGAATAACCAATAGGTACACTTTCATGTCATGCAGATCCTGCTCATCAGAATTGCCCCTTAGATTTAGCATACACACACGTTTCCTGTCTGAGCTGATCCTTCACTGGGATGGCTACAGATGGATTTTTCGGTTTCAGCACTACCTCCACCTTGACTAGCTGTACTTAGTCATCTATAAGCAAAAGCTTTTTCTTCTTTCCTATTTATTTATTCGTTTAATCAGTTTTCATAGTGGACTTGTGGATGGCTTTTTGAATGGCTCTAATTCATTTGGGTGCGCAGATGGCCTCAGCATTGCCCAGAGTGCCCTTCAGGGTTGCTCCTAGTCCTTGTGACGGGATGTGCTCCTGTCATTTTTTTGACACTTTGTTTTCTGGCCTAATGTGGAAGCTGCAGGCTCATCTAGTGCATACCCTGTCCCAGCCTCAGAATCAGCCATGGTTTCTTTTATTGGTATTAGAAAACAAGATTTGGTTTAGCCATGATATACATGGTATACTTTTTTTTTTTTCCATTAAAAACTTATACTGGTCACAGACCAAATGGATTTCACAACCCAGAATTTGAAAAACACTTTTCTAGGGTAACTCACTCCCTTGTCACTGCCATCTTCTGAAAGCCCAGGCCAAGTAGCAGGTGAGCCCTCTGCATAAGCAAGCGCACAGCTCCAAGAATCCTCTAGGAGCTAACACAAGCCTTTGGGGCAGAGAGGCCACTTCTCCGGGGCCAGAGTGGGACTTAGTGCTTGGCAGGTACAGGCTGTGGAGCTGTTTAGGGCAGCAGCCGTTTTCCAGAGGCCTAAAAGCCTGGCCTTCAATATGCAGTGTGTCTACTGTTTATCCCTTTTCCATGGCAGTGGTGGTGGGGGAAGGAGGGAGATCGACATTCTCTGTCTGTCTCCCCAGGCTTTGCCAGTGGTGGCTGCAGAGAACTGTCATTGTGATCTTTCCCACAGACTCAGATATTCAGAGCTGCTAAGGGGGCGGGGGGGAACTAGATGCCCAGAACACCAGTGTATAGGGACTGAGCCCTGGGACCACACACACCCGTCCCAAACCTGATAGGACACTTGTTAATAGCAGCAGGTATTATAGATGTAACACCCAGGTTTGTCCAAATATACTTGGAAGTTTGGAACTTCTACAAGAGCTGGTTCTTTTTCCCTAAATAAGTTTATCTTTCCTCACAGTCAGCTAAATACATCTTGCAGTTGTACGTATTTCTTCTGAATCAGGGCAAGGTTTTAAATTTTCCAGCTAAGGACAAACTCTGGCCCTGCGTAGTCAGGTCCATTCTCAATTGCATAAAATGTCTTTATGTTTAGTTTATCTTGTGGAATTGAGCATAAAATAGTCGAGAATAGTTTACTCCCCCCCTTGTTTTATCTTTGTTTTTAGACACCTGTATATTAAATGTTATATAGAAGGCTGAAATATCACATTTCTCAGTCTCAAATTTTTCTAGAATGTAAATTTTATCCTTGTAAACTGAAGAGTATAAATGCCATTATAGTTAACATTAAATTTTTTTTTAAATTGTGGTGTTTTTACTAAGTGCTACACAATGTAGTTTTCCATTTATTTTTATCAATAATTTCTAAGTACCTACTGGACTCTAGAAATATGGGACTTTGCCTTTTTAAGTTCCCAAATAGTATTTTCCCTCATCCAGTGGTTCCTGAATGCTGGTGGGCCCAAAATTTCCAAGTAAATTTGCCTGTCATAACCAGTCATCCAGGGAGTAATTTATGCATTCAATGCATTTCACATGATGATCAAGCAATCTGCTGAACACTTTTCTAATTGAATGTTCTATTTTAATAATAGTGCTAATAATTTTAACAGTGGTAATGGACAAGTTTTAGGGATTGTGTATGTAGCAAGGCAGGAACAGTAACAAAGTCTGGGAAGCTGAGGCCCAGAGTGGGGAGACAGCCATTGGCCATGGAGCTGGACCAGGTACAAGGTCCCTGGTTCCACCAGTCTCAGCCCCATAATTTCATCCTAAAAGAAGATGCCTAGTTAAGGGGCAAGATCTTTTAGGTACTGCCCACAAAATTTGGAAGTGACAGTTCAGGTTTCAGAGTGGTGCTTAAGGCAGGCAAATAATGTTAAAGTAACAAAAGTTTGCCCTTTGTGAGCAAGTCTTCGTGTAAGAAAAATTTCTCCCATGTTGTACTTGGTTCACTAATTCAGAAGAAAGGTGCCTTGCAGTAGATTGAAGAGAGAATTTAAAATGTAAAAATGATTTGGGTCACACCTGGCTCTCAGCTGCATGCAAGTCACTCATCTCCAATGTTTGGATGCTGCATTTGGACAAATCTTTTGAGGCTGGGCAGGCTCCTCCCACCACCAGTGACCCCTGCATGCCTTGGCTACAACAAAGGCCCTTTTAGAACCTCAGTCTCCAAGTCCAGTGGGTGGCTTTGGCTTGCTTCCCCCTCAGCCTGGAAGGTCTGTTTTCCAGAAAGTAAAGAGCAGTGAAGACGACTGAAATTGAACAGGTTGAGAAAGGAACTCTGTGAGCCACAGAATACTGCCTCTCAAATTGGAACAGGGCATTTCCAGCAGAGGCCCGAGTTTAGAGATTCCTAGGGCTGATTGGAACCTTTGAGGATAGTGACAGCTGTCCTGGACCATTTAGTTAAGCACTGGTTGGGGTACAAATGTGATGGGAAGGTTAAGTTGGGTCAGAAACCCTCCTGGCCACTCATCTTTGCTCTAGGTCCCCTTATGAAGGCTAACACCCCTCCTTTTCTTTCTAGATTACTGCTGATTTGACATACAGATGTAATTGCAGTTGTTATGGCTCACATCTAAAAATTTTGGTAGTTCACTGTGATGAGTAAGACTGGCCAGAAAGCTCTTGGGAAGAAAGTCATTTGTCCTTCATGCTGTTACCCACTAAAAGATCCATTAAGGGCGAGAAGCACGGTCCAGCCCTATCCCAGAAAAAGACACATAAAAAACAAAACACTCAATCCCTGAGCTGTGCTTACACAGTGCTGTAGTGGTCAGTAAGCTGAATGTATTTGCTTCACTTAGAGCCTTTAAAAAATGACCTTGAGGAATGCTTTGTTGACTTTAAGCTAATGCTTCAAAAAGCTGGGGGGGGGGCGGGGGGGATGGGATGTTAATTTCTAAGAAATGTAGAATACTGCAGTTTTGAATGTTAAATCTATTGCAACTATAAATCTGTCTCCATCCATTCAGAAAAGCAAAGCCAAAGGATTTCTTGGAAAGAACTGGGTATTTCCCTAGGTGATTAGCTGAAGAGGCAAGACTTCCTCTGTCCTCTGCAAAAGAGGAAACCATAGTAGCAGTCTCTGTCAATTTCATGTTACTGCTACTCTGGCTTTTAAAAAGTGACAGGACTTTTGTTTAGGTCTTGGATGGTGACTCTGTATGTAGAGTTATAAAGCCCATATAAGTGAATTAAACCTAGTTTCTTAAATAAAACAGCTACATAAAATTTTACTTTTTTTTTTCTCCAGTTAGCAGACTTTTAGTTTTAGGTGCGTGGACCAAACCCAAGACACAACCTCGCCTGCTTCCCACCACGCAGTCCAGAACATAACTCCCTTCCTCCACCGGGAGCTCGGGACGCAGGGAGGCTAGTGCAGCAGCTGCAGGAAACAAGGCACAGGCAGGGCTGGGCAAACCGAGTCGTGTGGCAGAGGGTGCCGCTGACAAACGTCATGGAGCCCTAAGCGGGATCACTCTCAAGTTCTCCCATCCTTTACAGTTGTATCTTTTAAAGGCACATTCAGAAACGTTGCGACTAGGGACTGGGGTTAGCTGCACACAGCTGCTACACAGATTAAGGGGCCGCAAGACTCCATGGCACAGAGCGGTGAGGCTATCCTTGCTTTTGCTGCAAGGGAAGGGGAGGCAGCCTACAGGAATCCAGCCCGCTTTGGTGTGGAGGCCTAGGAAGGGGCCAGCAACAGGAAGGACCAAGGTCGTGGTCAGTAACGCACGTACTTCACAGGTTTTTTGGTATTTGTGTAGCAGCATTGATCCCCCTTATGTACAAAGGCTTCTGTAGCCAGCAAAGCTGGGAAAAAGTACACTTCTGCACGCAGCTGGTGGCCTGGCTCCTCTCCCAGCGCTGACCATCTGCTGCACAAGGCACAAAGCAGAGAGGGCAGGAAGTCAGTCTAAACTGCAGTATTTGAATATACAAATAGAGTTTAGAAAGGATTTCCTGGAGACTTAGACCTGGGAGGTTTTACTTCCCTCTCAGGTTCTACTGAGGATCCTAAGAACCTCAGCCCAAGCCCTACCCAACAGTTTTACCTCTTGATTAACCTCACAGATGACAAATTCTTAGGCTTTCCTCCCCAGATATGAGCTGAGAACTGGAAGTGTCCCTCTGGGGCCTGAGCAGAGAGCAGGGGGCAGAGGTTCTGAGGGCCCAGAGAGCTGCCCACCTCACAGGCCCCTGGGCTCCAGGACCAACCAGTTCTCGGTGACCGTCTGCATGTCCTGGCCACTCAGAGGCTCCCGCAGCCTCACCCTCACCTCCAGCTTGCCCCCAGTGGGCTTCCTTCCATCCAGGACCTGTAAGAAACGTGGAGAGGGAGACGGTAACTGATGGGATTAGGGGCTGGGAGCAGGCGGTGCCCTATGCTCACAGGTGTAAGGAATAAGGAGCTAAAATAGCAGTATCAACATAGGAATCTCCATTTCCTGACAACCCTGGTGGGGGTAGTGATTTTAGGTAAGTCTTATTTAAAAAAAAAAAAAAAGGAAGAAAGAAAAATAAAAGTAGCCCTGGCTGGTGTGGCTGAGTGTTAAGCACCGGCCTGCAAACCGAAAGGTTGCCAGTTTGGTTCATGGTCAGGGCACATGCCTGGGTTGCAGGCATGCAAGAGGCAAACGATCAACATGTCTCACATGTCGATATTTCTCTCCCTCTTTCTCTCTCTCTTCCTCTAAGTAAATACATAAATTGTAAAAAAATTAGTATGTAAATCTAAATAAGCGTCAATGCTCTGAGGTAGAGACAAGAAACCTAGAGTTCTGCTTACTCAGTTTCCGCATGGCAACTCCTGGAAGAAATGCTCTGGCTTAAAGGTGCAGCCTGAAAGCCACTAAGCCCAGACCCTCCCTTCACAGGTGGCCCAGACGTTACACAGCCAGTGTGGCAAGGCCAGGACTAGAACCCAGGCCAGGGGTTCCTACCACCCACCATGCTGTCTCCCTGGTCACAGGGAGGGGCAGCTGGAGTGCAAAGCAGTGAATGCTAAGGCTCAAGAAGTCTAACCACCATCCACCATCAACGTGGCCAATGTACAGGAGGCCCCACTTCAGAAAAACTCCCCAAAAAAGGTGGTGCAGGGAGGGAGGTGCACAGTGGTGGGAAAACCCCCACCTAAGAAGGCAGCAAGGGTCTGGGCCACACTGCCAGGCCCACACCCTTCTCTCTGGAGCTTAGTTTCCTCATCAGTCAGAGGCAAGCTTTTAGTCACTGCCTGGGAAATCTGACAAATTCGTGGAAACTTAAGGAGCTGTGTGGGGCCAGTTCCCAAACAGAGTATCTTCATTGTGGTAGGTCCCTGATTTTGAAAGACTTTATCTTCACATTCACAGCTTGTTCCACTTCATTCAGCTGCCAGACAACTGTCCCAACCACAACTCTGTCCCTGCCAAAACTAGGAGTTTCTGCATGCGCAAACGACAGCAATGACCCCTCAAGGGCCCTGTAGTCCACCATCCCTGGGAACCTGAGTGGCCCAGAGTGCTGTGGAAACAGTGTAGCTACTTTCTGAATGGGTGATGCTATAAACTTTTATCAAACCCTCTGAATCTCTTCATTTGTGAAATGGGAATAACCTACTCTACAACATATTTACAGGTGCTGTTTAATGGGCACAAAAACCCTACAACAGGGGCTGATGTTCAATTAATGTCGGCTTTTCACTTGTCAAGTCCTCTGATTCACCCACCCCCAACCTCCACAACCTCTGAGTCCTACCTCCAAAATCTCTCTGATCTCACACTCATTCTCCAGCCGCTCCAGTTTCAGGTGGGCTGTGCCAACCAGCTTGTCACTTCTGAAGAAGGATCTGGGGAGCCAACAGTCAGCAGAGGATTGGACTGGGCAGGGAGCGCAGGAACGAGCTGGCCGAGTCCAGCACAAGGAAACAGTAGGAGCAGCAGCGGCAGCACCACCAGAAGTCTGTCCTTCCTCCCAGCCCACCCCTCCACGGCACAAATGGCTGACGGGCCTCACCCTTTGTGGAAGATTTCAAACTTGATTCCTTTGCTCTGGATCACCCTCCTGAAGCCCCGGTGGTTTCGGTTGATGTTTAGTTTGAAGAGCTGATCAAATTCTGCAGGGGTGGGAGAAAAAGGGGCTCGGCACCCAGGGATTTCCGGAGGAGGGGCTGGCCTCCCTTCTAGATGGTTCTGCTTGCGATCCAGAGATGACCACTGGGGGGTGATAGAGCCCCCAGGTCCTGGCCTTGGAAGTCAACTTGGACAGTTCTTGATAGAGATTACTATACTGTACTCTTAATGGAGATTATACTCAAGTGGGAGGAACTTGGAATTGAGAGTCAGGATTCCCGAATTCAACATCAATTTCCAACACCTCTTTGCTCAGAGGCCATAGGCAAGTCCTTTTACCTCTCTTAGCCTCCATTTCCCCAACTACATGAGAGGAGTGGTCATAATACCCACCCATATCTCCCAAGTTGAGCACCAAGACAGACAACAGATCTGGAGATACGTGCTGCGCGAGCACCGCCCCCGAGAACGACAGGGAGGAGGAGGCCGCCCTCACCTGGAGAGTTTGTGTTCTTCACCACAGCTGTTTTGCTTTTCTGAGCCTGGTCCTAAAGTGTTAAGAAGGGAGAAGTCGGGACAGCTTGAAAACACAGGTCTATCAAGTCCAGAGCTCTGGGCTAAGCCAGTGCTGAGGGAAGGGACGCCTATAAGGAGTGGGCCTAGGGGTCTTCAAGCCCCTCCCTACAGCCAGCCCTCCCAGGGGTGGGGAGAAATTGAGCACACGGTCCTGGCACAAGTTCAGAGGATCCTACCTCTCCCTGAACCTCACCGAGTTAGGGTAGTGAAACTCAAACCGCACAAACGCATCCAAGTCATCAGGCGTCACCCCTATAAAGGAGAAATGGGAGTCGGGGTCAGAGGGAGTAGCCAGGGGCCCAGCACTTGAGGTGGAGGGAGAGCCAGTGTCCCCCTACTGGCCAGGGGTGGAGTGTCTGGGCAAGAGCCTACTGGAGTAGGAGTGGCCCTAGGGCTACCTGGAGGGGCTGGGAGGTTCATTCCCCGGACAATGATCAGATGCATCTCTGTGCTGTTGAGTTCTGAGAAGATCCTACAGCCAGGAAGCAAGGAGAAAGCTCAAAGTGAAGGAGCGCAGTGGGAAAGGGTCCCCATCTTCCAGGACTGCCTGTCTGCTTGCCGGGGGGTGGCCACGAATACAGTGAGCCCAGGGAGGCGAAGTTTGTCTGGGCTAGGAGCAGCAGAGCTGGTACGAAGACCTCCCTGCAAAGCTCCTTCCCTAGCCACCCCAGCTCCGAGCTCCTCACAGGCAGTCACCATGTCCTACCTCCCACACCCCAAGGCCCAGTGCCTACGGCAGGGCCACACCTGGAAATTCTTACTAAAGGGGCCTAAGTCTCCAGCCTTGGCTCCCAGCCCCTTGGCACATCCCTGCATGCAGCCATTGTCTCCCTAAGGCTTTGGTACCTCACAGTCTGGAATGTCTTCAACTCGAAGTGGTGGCTAGGAGGATCAAGGCCCTGGGCCTGGGCCAGATGCAGGATCTCAAGCTGCTGCTTGCGGTCCTGAGCAAGCTTCTCAAACCTGACAGGGTTGGGAGCACACTTCAGCACTACAGGGCTCATTGTCTGCTCCCTACCCCACATGCCCCAGCCCCTGCATTTACCGAGTCGTCTCAGCCACATTGCCCTGGTGCATGAACTGCTTGGAGAACAGCAGGCACTTCTGAAAATAGAGGTCCACAGTGGGTCCAGACTGGCTTTAGAGGCCCAACTTCTGAAAGCTCCAACCTTCTACAGTCTCATCCTTCTCCCCCAACACGTACCTCTTCCCCAAGATCACTGTTTCCAAGACCTGTTTTTCCTGTTTTGTTTTGTTTTTTTGTGATAGCCATTCCCCAAAATTCACTTAGCAAACTCCTTCTCTTCCTTCAAAAGCTAACAGAAACATCACTTCAGAAAGCAGACCTGCAAGCAGTTCAGATCGACACATACACACAAACATGCACACGTTTTCCTATATATGTCTGTGTACATGTCCCCTGCCACCTCCTCTGACCTTCAAAGCACTTTCCCTTCCAGTCTGTTGTGTGAACTTCATAACCACCCAGTGGTAGTAGTAATCTTATTTTACAGATGACAATGGGGTTCAGAGAGGGGAAGTGCCTGCCCAAGGTCACACAGCCAGTAGGCAGAAGAGCTAGAAAATGAACCGAGGCCTACCTGGTCTGAGCCTATGCCCTTCCCCTAAGGGAGGCTGTGGGCACTGAAGGGAGGAGAGACAAGCAATCAACTGACCTCATGTTGCTCTAGGAGCATTTTTTGTAGCTGGGCGTACACCTCCTCAGCCTTCTGGGAGAGGCGCAGGTCTTCATGGTGAATGAGGATGAAGTCACCCTCTTCATCCGTCAAGGGTGAAGGTACCTGCCCAGGTCACAAGGCCCCTCAGGGGCCCCAAGGGTCAGATTATCCCTCTACTGAGCCTAACAAAGGCAGGAACCCAAACTGAATGTTTCTCCAACTTCAACAGCCAGTGATGGGAACTCACTGCTTCCCTTTGTATCCCAGGCCGCTGCAACACTGCTTCCCACTGGCCTTGCCCTGCCTTGTGATCTCCGACCAGAGGCAGCCCACCAGGCCTTCGCCTGGCCTTTCTCGGGGCCACAGGGCAGAGGGAGGCATAAGCCAAAGGCGCTTTCCCAGCAGTCACCACATCCTACCCACGTCTCCCCTCTCAGGGAAGGCACGACCAATGGCAATGGACAGCGGCATCCGAGCAGCTGCTTTGTTCACAGCCCTGCTGTCAAGCTTGCCACCCGCCTCTTCTGCCTGAGAAGTCCTCCTCCGTAACCCGGTGGACTCACCTTGGAGAGGTCCAGCGGTCGGCCGGCTCGGACCTGGATAATCTGAGCCTCAAGGCATTTGGCCAGCCGCAGATGAGCTTTGGCTTGTTCCAGGTCCCGGCCACGCTTGGCCTGCAGGGCTGCCCGCTGGTACTGCAGTTTGCGGGCCTCCAGCAGTGCCAGCTGCTCCCGTACTGAAGGGAGAGTACTGCTGGTCAGCGCCACGCCTCCCCCTCACTGGAGCCTTTAGTCCTCCATCCCTCTTCTCCCAACTTACCAGAGGGGCTCAGTGACTCCTTAGAACTTGAGGCCTTGGGCTCAGGCAGGGAGCGGGATGAAGGGACCAGAGGCTTCTTGGATACTGGGGCCTGGGCTGGAGGCTCATCCTGCAGGTGCCCAGGAGGAGGTCACAGGAAATCTGTTCCCACCCCAGCTGTGGCAGCTCAGACAGGGACTCTCTTCCCAACACTGCACTAACCTGCTGGGTGTACCAAGATGAATGGCTTCCCCGTGTGGGCCCTAGAGAATCTGAGCTACAACGAGTCTCAAAAGCTCTGAGCTAACCTTCCCAACAGCAGACACCAGGATTTTCGGGATCAACCCGGGGCTCTGGGGTCAGAAAGACCTCGGTTTGAATCTATCTCTGCTAATGCCTATCTGGATGCTCTTGGACAAGTTTTTTTTCTCTGTAAAATGGCAGAAAGAATAGCTACTTTGCTGGACTTGTTAGTATGGGCAACAGGGTCTGGGTTTGCCCCTCATCTGCCATTTCTCCCAACCCCTGGAGTCTTGGGCCCTCAGCCAAACCTCATCCTCATCCCCATCTTCCTTGGCTGGAGCTATATCCTCGGAGGAGGCTAGTTTCTGAGCAGCAGCTAAAGTGGCTGCTACTGCATCCTCTTCAGTGCCTGTAGTGGGCTCCACACCAGGGATGGGAGGGAATCCTGTGGGAGAGAGAGAGCTGGGCGAGGGGTATGGTGGCCTCGGGGAAGCACTAGGCTGTTGGGGCTTCGGCTGGGTCTTCCTGGGCATGGCTGGAGTGGGCGGCTCCCAGAGTGGAGGCAGACACATGAGGAATCACTCCCCGCCACCCCCTCGGAGATCATAAAGACCTTAGGCCAAGTACCACATACCTGGAGGAACAGGCAACTCGGCAAAATCAACCTTGCGTCCTGCTCGATGCGCTCGAATGGCATCTTGGTATTGCTGCAAGGGAAAGGAGGGAGGGACCTGTGGTGGGCAGCAGTCTGCAGGCTCCACACAGGGGGAGACAGGGAGAGGAAGAGTGAAGGCAGCCCCCAGAGGAAAAAGAGCCTGAGGCAGCAAGAGCTTGAGAGAGACAGATGGACACTGAAGGACCAAGGCTAGCAGCAACAGCAGATGGAGAGGCTGACATGGGCAGGGGGTTTCACGGCTGCAGGCCCACCTTGGCAATACGCTCGTGCATCCGGGCCTTTCGCTCATCCCCACTGCTGCGGGCCTGGGTGCCTGCCTCACGGTACTTGTTCAGCCTCTGCTGCAGGGCATCCAGCACTGTTTGTGGCTCAGTGTGGGCCACTAGAGAGAAGGAAGGAAATAGCATCAGTGTTATCTCTGCCTGCCTCTCCCCAGGTCCCCACTCCACAGTCCCACCATCCCATCCTACCTGGGGTTGCTGGGGTGTCAGGGGCCATCACTGGGTGCACTTGCTCCACAGCTGGGGGTACGACTGAGGGTGCTGTGAGGGCCTTGGAAGCCTTTGGGAGGTCTGGGGGACCCAGAGCAGAAATGTAGGTGTAGGTACCTGGCCAGCCCCAGCTGGAGCAGATTCCCTCCACCACCCCCATACTGACCCTCAGGTGCTGGGGGCATGGCACTCAGGTCCACAGGCTGCCCCTTCTCCAGGGCCTCCAGCACAGCACCAAATCTCTGCAGTAGTAAGAAAAGCAGGCATGGGCATAAGCCAGGGAACCCCGTGAGCCTGGGCTAAAAAATAAGACTCCCCCTCAGCCCAGTGTAGCTGTATGACCTTGAGGGGGTCACTGCCCCCAACTGTGAAACAAGGGGTTGGACACAGGGCCCCTGAGCCAGATGTCATACCTTCCCAATCCTCATGAGCTCTCGGGCACGGTCTAGGTCTCCAGCCCGCTTGGCATTCAGGGCAGCCACTTTGTACTCCCTCTGTCGTGCCGCCAACAGGGCCTGTGGGCCAGGGTCTGGGTCTGAACTGGGCGGGGCGGGGCTGCCCGAGAGGCTTGTCTCAGGCTGAGAAGGGTTGTCTTTGGAGAAATAAAAAGCCCAGAGAGGGGGCATCAAGGTAAAAGAAGAAAGTGCCCACCTTGGGTTCCCAGAGCCCACAGGAAGGTGTCACTAATGCCAATGGAGTGGCGGAGGGCCGGGGGGCCATGGGCTCTGACTGGGAAGGAGAACAGGATTTGAGTGTCTCCAGATACCTGGCAGCAGGGTGGCGGGGGCAGAGAGGTCTGCCACAGGGCTCCTGTTGGCTGTCTCCTGGGGGGCCGGGGGCTTCTTGCCCAAGGCCACTGGAGGCGGTATCTCATCCTCACTGATCTTCCTGCCTTTCCTCACAGCAGCCAGCTGGGACTCTAGAGTCTGGGGGAGAGAAGAGCCAGAAACCTAGCCAGCCATCTCGGCCTGGACCCTGCCTGAAGACAGGCCAGGGATCCTTCACCTTCACAAGGCCAGAGGGGAGGCCTCCCCTGTACTGGCGCAACTTCCTGCTGCCTCACCCACCACCCTGAACCCCACTCCTCCCAGCCCTGCTCCCTGGCTGGGCCCGACCTACCTTTAGGCCACGTTCACAACGCCTGGCTTTGGCTGCTTCACCTGCCTCTTTGGCGCTGGCCGCAGCTTCCTGGTAATTGTGGATCCGCTCCTCCAGCAGAGCCTGCAGCCCCCGAGGCCCTCCAGCCTGTAGATACTCCAGTTCAGGGCCTGGCCACTCCAGGGCCAGCTAGGCCCTTGCTGCTCCCTCCCTGCAAGGAAGCTGCCCCAGAAAACAGAGCTCTTGGATCCAAGGAGGACGAGCCTAAAAGCCTCAAAGAGGAGGCAAAGACTTACTGGAGAGGCCAGAGGCCGTATCAGAGGCAAACACAGAGGCCCAGACAATCTGTGGACGGCTGGAGGGGGTGGCCCGGGAGAACAGAGAGGCCTTTGAGGCCGGCCAGGCACCAAAGAGTTTCTCAGGCTCAGTTGCTGCTTGGGGCACTGCTGGAGGGGGGCCCTGGGAAGGGTTACTGCGGTCTTCCTATTCAAGCCATGCTGTTAAACGTGGACACGCAGGGTTATCGAAGGCACAGGGGATCCCCCCGGAACCTACCTGAGCCACCGGGACTGAAGCTGTTAGTAGAGCTGTCTGCACTGGAGGTTCAGTGTTTTCCTGCCCCTTGTCCTCCTCAGAGCTGCCCAGGACAGCTGTCTCATCATCATACGGGGACCCAGCTTCCTCATCTGCACCCAGGACCTCCTGCAGCTCAGCCTGGGGAGACATAAGTCCCAGGAACATGGGAGCCTCATGGCCACAGCTATGATAGGATCTGAACATAAAGGACCCTCTCCCCCAGTAGTACCTCCCGACATCAGTCACTGTGCCCAAAAGTCCCTGTTACCAAAACACTTCTTTAATCTGAGGACAGGTAGCCTTGGAAACAGTGAAGGCTACAAATCTGAGAATCCTTAAGTACAGCATTCAGACCAGGCATCAAAGGAAACTAGTCTCACACTGTAGAGTCCAGAAAACAGGCCCAAGGAGGACGGGGCAGCCACTCCACATCAGAGCACACAGAGGGACAAGCCCCAGAACTCTTCTGCAGGCTTGACCACAGAGCACTCGGCCACCAGCCTGGCAAACGCACCAGCAAGTCTGTATCATCCTCCAGCCCTTCTTCCTCCTCCTCCTCCTCCACATCCCGCATACAGTCCTCCGCCAGCTTCTCGATGTGGGCCATAGGCAAGGGCGCTGGGGGAACAGAGGGTCAGGGCCTCAGAACAGGTCCATGAAGAGTAGAGTCTTCAATGCACTGCGTGCTTCTACACCCAGGTGGAAATCTTGCCCTTCCCGGGCAAATCCAAGTCCCTGCTGTAAAAGTCCTGCTCTTCCTGTACAACCCAGCTGAAAAGACCCTCACGGCAGCAAAACCTTCCTAGACCCTCCAAAAGGCAACAAGCTGCTCTCTTCTCAGCACTTTTGCTGTGGTTCTTCATAGGCATATTTGTCCACTCCTCCTAACCACACCTTTCACATGCATAAAGACTTTTAACATCTATTTGAACCTCATAATAATTCTGCAAGATATGTCATATTATCCTCATTTTATAGGGGAAAAACTACCAATATTAATTTTCCTAATACTGCAATCCTATCAAATGGCAGAGCCATGACTCACACCCAGGCTGCTCTAACCCCAGAGGTTTGGCTGAGAGAACATGGAGGGTCATGGTTCTCCCGTTACCCTAGCTCAGGGGTACATGGGACTGGGGGAGGTCCCCTTGGAGGGCTCCCGGTGAGAAGAGAGGAAGCTTCAGGTCCTCTGGCCCTCCCAGACTTCAGGTCTGTGTCCTCTTCCAGACTGGGGAGGAAGATTATACTTATTCATTCATTTGACACAACTTCTATGCACTAAGCCCCCTTTCTGTATCAGACCCTGGCTAGGGCTGAGCACAGGGACCTGAGTCAAGAGGGAACATCCAGGGAAGCAGTGAGCTCCCCATCACACAGGTGTGTGAACAGGGCAAGACAGCCTCTCGGTGACAGTGCTGCAGAAGGGACTTGGATACCAGAAGACCAGGTGATTTGGCTGGATCCTCGCAGCTGGGGGGAGGCCCCTCTCCACCACCTGCCTGAGCTCATCCAGTCCTAGCACCAAGTCCAGCCCACCACCAGAAACTTACCCTTACCCTGCTTCTTGGGTGCTGGCTTCCTGCCTGTGGTCTCTGCTTCTCCAGTGAGGGCCAGTAGCTCGGCCTCCAGGTCCCCATCATCTTCAGTCTCCTCCATCCCCAACAGCATGTCCTCAGGGCTGAACTCCACAAAGAGTCCCAGCTGAGAGCAGAGAAGGTTTCTCAGGGATCACACAATGAGGAAGAGGGTGTAGCCGAGCCCCAGAGCCAGTCTCCCAGAGGTCAGTGGCACCTTCCTTGTCTGAGGCCAAACTCGCAAAAAGGGAAACTGACGCCTGCAACATTACCCTTTAGGGTACACCCTGGTGACTCTACGAAGCGCCCAGCACGACTACAATGCCATTACTACTCGTCACTAGCTGCCAGGCCCTGTACTGAACACTACCTTACCATCTTAGTTCATTCTCACAGTCCTGAGGGGTAGCTTCATATTTTTTTCATATTTCAACACATACATAACATGAAAATTATCTTAACCATTTTTTTAAATCCTCACCTGAGGACGTTTCCATGATATTTATATATTTTTTTAATTTTTTTTTTTTTTTAGAGAGAGAGGAAGGAAGGAGAAGGGAGGGAGAGAAAGAGAGAAAGACAGAGAAAGAGAAACATCGATTGGTTTTCTTCCATACACACCCCAACCAGGGACTGAACCCAAACCTGCAACCTAGGCATGTGCCCTGACCGGGAACGGAACTGGCGACCCCTCGGTGCACAGAATGGCACCCCAACCACCTGAGCCACGGGGCCAGGGTACCTTAACCATTTTTTAAATATAAAGTTCAGTGGCATTAAGTACATCATGCTGTTGTGCTACCATCACCACCATCCATCCACAGAACTCTTTTCATATGGCAAAACTGAAACTCTGTACCCATTAAACAGTAACTCCCCACTCCCCTCTTGCCCCAGCCCCTGATAATTACATTCTACTTTGTCTCCATGAATCTGCCCACTCTACATAAATGTAGATCCTCCTTATATCTCCATGTTCAGATGATACCGAGACAGCCTTGTTAAGTGGCAGAGCTAGAATTTAAAATAAGGTCATGTGACTTGAGTTCATGCCCAGTATCCTACCACCTCTCTTACTTGCCTATTTTAAAGCAATAAAAATGGAGTAAGACGTCTCAGGACTTGGACCAAGAGAAAATAAACAGAGAGATTAGAGGACAGACCCCTAAGGATGCAAAGCTCTCCTGGTAGACTTAGCCCTCAAGCCCTGGCATCCCTGGCTGGCAAGCAGAGTCATGGCCTAAATGAGGAACCCGTGAGAGTGCTGAGGCCCCATCAGCACACCCTGAACTTTGGTCGTTTCTGAACCCGGCGGACCACTTGTCCAGAGGTGGCCATGGCAGAGGATACCTGCGTTGAGACACAGCAGAGTTCAAGACTCGCATCCCTCGAGTGTGTGGCAGGACCTAGTCAGAGTACCTCTAAGGGCTCTGCCAACTCCAGGAGGCACTTGCTCCATGTCTCTGGACCAATGGGGATACCATACCAGTGACCCAGTTTGCCCATGCTATTTAGGGACCTCCCATCCTGGCTCAGGGGTGAGGAGGCTATATACATACCTGTTTGGCAGCTGCCACACCCTGACCACTGGCCTGAGGGCCCTTCCGAGGTCTTGGCCCTGGCATCTTGGCTGCCCAGATACCTGTCTGGTGGGGAATGGAAGAGACTCAGACTGCAGCAGCCTATAAGCCCTTCTCCCAACAGTGCTACCTTAGTAAGGTGTGGTTGGTACACTCCCAGCTTCAAGAAAACCATCAACCCTTAAGACCAAAGGATGAAATACCAACACTGGAAGTGAAGCACTGAAGCAGGCAGCACAGGAGATAGAAGGGATGGAGACCACCTGTCAGTGGACTTAAGTGGGGAGTGTGGATACACAATAAAAGTGTAGTGAACTGATTTGACAAATTTGGATTAAACGAATGGGGAGGAGCTTAGGAAGACAGACTCAGGGAAGTTGCTCTAGGTAAGAGGTTGGGGTGGGTAGGATCCAGGAAGGCTCTAAGGCTGTGCTTTCAAATATGGTAGTCATGTGTGGCTATTTACATTGGAATTCATTAAAATTAAAAATCCAGTCCCTTGGTTATTGGCCACCATTGGCCAGCACAAATATTAAACATTTCCATCACCAGAAATAGTTCTATTGGACAGTTCTGCTCTAGAGAAACCTGACTCAGCATTCTGATTCTCTTAGAGTTCACAACCACTCATAGGACCTACTATGTGCAGAGAGACCTTGTCTCTCCGGCAGAGCTGGAATGAGTGTGACATGTTCTCAACCCTCAAAGATCATTTACACCGTGGAGAGCCTGATTCATGGACAAAAACCACGCAGGACTGCGCCAGGGGCCACGAGTGCCCAAGTGCAGCCCCTCATCCAGCACCACAGAGAAAAGACTTCTTGGAGATGATGCCTGTGCTGAGTCAGGTAGAAGTTGGGGAAAAGGATTCCAAACAGATGGAACAACCTGATAACAGACCTAAGGTGAAAAAGGTTGACCTGCACAGGAAACTAAAGACCTTGGATTATTGGGGCATAAAATGTGAGACAGAAAATGGTACCAGTCAAGCTGAAAATGTGAGCAGGGGACAAAGTAAACTTTTAAACTTTAAAGGAGTTTGGGCATTATTCTAGGGCAATCAATGCATGTGGCGGGATCGGATCGGCTGCAGCAGAGAGGCTGACGGCCATCACTTCTTGCAACAGTGCAGGCAAAAGGGGAGAGCTGCGGTGGCGTGGGAGTGGCGAGAAGTGGCCAGAGTCCCGAGTTCGGGGTGAAAAACACAGGGCTCGGAGGTTAACTGGAGGTGGGCGCACAGGAGGGGGCGCTCAGGGTGACTTCAGGAGTCAGATTTCCGTGGCTTGGGTGAATGGCGGGCTGCCCACTGAGCAGAGGCACTACAGCGGGTTCAGGGAGAGGCTAGGTCAGTCCGACGTGCCAAGGTGCGGGTCCGGGGCCACCAAGATGGGGGCATCGGTGCTGGACCCAGGCTGAGGAGAGCAGCACAATTCCCAGGAGAGGCAAAGCCAGGGGACCCCACTACCTCGCGGCACGACGCGCTTCCCTGCCCCACCCCAGCCGACTCCATCTCCCCCGCCATCCTCAGGTCTCCCCTCGCTGGGAGTGGGGGCAGGTACGCAGCATACCTCGCAGCGAATCCGAAACCAACCCAGGCCTTCTCCGCCCAGCACCGCCCGGGGCTCCCGTGGCCACCGGGCGGTGGCGGCGGCGGCGGCAGCGGTGACAGGAAGCTACCCCTACGGACACCGCTCGCGCACTAACACGTGACTCCACGCCCGTGCGGTGCGCAATGCGCATGCGCAAGGCTAAGCGGGTGTGGCGCCCCAACAGGTGATTCCAAGGGTGGAGTTCCGAGTGCACCCGCAGTACAGGGCTCGATTTGCGGGCCGGTGGGCAGTTCCGGGATGTCCACCAGCTTACGCAAGAACAGCAGGTGCGTCATCTGTCCTTGCCCAATTACAGCTTCTCCGCCAAGTTCCTCCCAGCCCTCGGCTCGCTCGCACTAGCAGGCCCCACTCCCCGCTCCGCCGTCTTCGCGTGGGGGCGGGAGTAGCGCAGACCTCACCCTGCGGGGCTAGCTTCGCAGCCTGTCACCTTCTTAGTCCTGTGTTTTGTCTCCAGGGAAATGTAAATGTAGCTCACCATATTTTTAACCATTTATCATGTGAACGTACTTTTTCCAATGAGAAGGTGGGTTAAAGACTTAAGATATAACAGGCAGTAGGTGCTCATTGGACCTTTTCGTGAAGTCACTTCAGAGAGTTTAACACCAAGTTTGTATTCCTTTACCCTGCCGGGCAGTAATAAGATGGTTACAGAGAACCTTCCATCTGAAACAAACCTTGCAACTCACTCCTTATCTCTTCAACTTTGAAATTATGTTCTGTAACGGTTTGAAAAAACCTTGCAGTTGCCTTGGACAAGCTTTTCCATCTGTTGCTTTTGGATGGTTGCCCAAAGAGACCGACTTCAGCATTTTAAAATAGAAGTTTCACTCCCACTTTTCTTATGAAGTATTTAACATATATCCCAAGATACACGATACTTCACATTTGCTAGAATGCAAGCTCCACTATTCTCTAAGTCATTTCCAGTGTTTAAAGAACCGCATGGTACATAGTAGGCACTCAATAAAAATAGTTCCTATTTCTGGTGTGAATTAACATGAGCACCAACTACAAGTTTAGGGAAAAAAAACCCAGCACAATACAGTTGAAACAACTTATATATCTTTCGTGTTGCAAACCCTTCCTAAAGAACTACCTCCTCTCCCGAGCTTGGTATTTATTACTCTAGTCTTTATTCCTAGTTCCATTATGTGTATTTATGTGTGTATATATATATATATACCCTTAAATAACCCATAGTTTTGTTGCAAGCTTTAGCATTGTATCTTCAATTTCTTTATGTACTCAACCATTTGTAAACTTTATCCAGTTAATTTTCATTTCTGTATTTTATAGTATGAAAATAATTCACTTTTCTAATGGCTTGCCATTACAGTACAATGAACATTCTTGTGTACAACTCCTAGGTACATAATGTGTTTTCCTGGGTTATATACCTAGGAGTGGAATAGCTGACTCAGAATTACTGCATTTTGCAGATTATATACCAATTATGTACAAAATATGTTTCAGTTTACACTCCCATAAGAGGGGCAGTTGGGTTCTAACTTTTCATGTCATCATTGGAAGGTTTTCTAATAGACGTAAAAGGGTTTTGAATTGCAGGGCTCTTTTAGTATGTTTCCATTTTGTTGGCCATTCGTTTTTCTTATTCTGTAGATGACTTATTTACCCATTTTCCTTTCAAAATATCATGTAATTCTTTAAAATATCAATAGTGATCTAAGTCCATTATATGTATATAAATATTTGTATATACATCAATGTGCATTTTTCTTGAACCATTAGTTGTAGACATTTCACTCAAATTTTTCATGATTCTAAAAATTCTACACAATTTATCAAAATTTAACATTTATATACTAGTATACCTATTATAAATGTTTACAATTATTTATATCTCTTAAATATATAAACCCAATCAAGATTCACAGTGCATTTAGCTCTCATTTATTTTCCTTTAGTTTAGAATAATTCCTCCATTTTGTCTTTTGTGATATTATTTTTGAAGAGGGATAGTTGCTTTGTAGAATATTTCCCCCACAATTTTGATTTAGCTGATCATTTTCTCATCAACAGATTCAAGTCAAAAATTTCTGGCAGGACTCTTACAGTATTATATGGGTGATGTTTTTCTCATGAGGATGCTTGAGATGTCAGTTTGTCCCATTGTTGGTTTTTATGTAAATATGAGAATTAACTTGCAAAGTTATACAAAAACCCTGCCAAGATTTTGATTGGAATTGATTTTTATTTAGAGATTAATTACCTTTTTATTAGCTTTATTCCTAGGTACCTTATATTTCCTGTGCCGTCTAAGTCTCTTTCATTTAAAGATTTGTTTTTAGGATAAACAGTACTCCTTAAAATTTACATTTTCTAGCTCTTTGTTGCTGGAGATTCCTTATCACTAGTATTATTTCCAGCATTTCTTTCTCATATACTAAGTTTGTTGTCACTCATGTTGTTCAAAACTTAAAAAACACATAAGGACATACAGTGAAAGTCTTCCCTTAACCCCTGCTCATAGCCATCCATTTCTTTCCCAGAGGCAACCAATAAACCAATTTTTTATATATTCTCCCAAAACTGTATCAATAAAAGTAATTGTATGCAGATATTTATATGTGAGGGGAGACCAAAAAACCCCTTGGAATTTACTTATAAAAAATTGTGTATTTATTCTTACACGTTTAAACTTCAGTTACCTTCCAAGTACTCTCCATTTAATGCAACACACCTATGTAAATGTTTTTTTCCACTGATCAAAACAGTTTTTGAACTTCTTAATTTTGATGCCTTTTGGTGCTTCTGACATTTTTTTGTTTCACTCCTTCCACATGGGCAAAATGTTTCCCTTTGAGGACTTTTTTCATCCGGAGAACCAAAATAAAGTTGCTCAGGACAAGATCCAGTGAACAGGGAGGGTGGGGCACAGGGATTGTGCAATTTTTGGTCAAAACTGCTGAACATTCAGCACAGCGCAGGCAGGTGCACTTGTAAATCACCCACCATGAAACGGGCAAACACACTAAAAGAGTCTTCAAAAAAAATTCACTGAAGTTGAAGGCAGCTTCTCATGCCAGCTGGTACACTGATACAGAAGGGGGGACATTGGTACATTGATACACTCACTCAGTGGGGGAGGCCTGCCCTTCAGAAGATAAATCCAGGTTTGTTTAGGGTCCCCCCTTGTGTATGGTATGTCACCGCTAAATAAGTGGCAGTGCTTCTAACAGAAATAAAAGTCAGAAGGAGGGCCTATTGTAGGAAGGATGGTATGGTTTTATAATCTGATGTTTGTAATGACTATACATTTCCCAAACACTGTGGGAAAAGAAAAGTCGTTAATAGAAAATTACAAATTACACAGTAGCCATTTCCCTTCAGTATACTTTCCTACAATTCCATGTGCTTAGAAAAAGAAAATCAGGCTCTTTAAAAACAGCAGCTCCCAGTCCTTCCTTTGAAGCCCTTCACTCTTCTTTCAGGGCATACAGCACATCGCCCTGGCTCACATTGAGTCGCACACGAAGGAGCAGGTCATTCCTGCTGGACTCCACAAGGAGGAGGCGGCAGGAGCCCAGCTGAGAGCACACCGCCATGGTCTCTGACATGGTGGGGTACGGCAGCCCCTCCATCCTGCACAGCTCCACATGTTGCCTGTACACCTGGAAACAAAAAGCAAATCCAAGGTCAGTTCCTGGAAAAGTTAGAGAGAGATACTTCTAGATCTATGTCGGATCATTTATTTCCTCTTTCGGGGAAATCAGACACTTCTTGGCCAGGATACTTAATACCTGAGAAGGCAACCGTGGGTGCCCCAGTGGGGCGCAAACGAGGGACAGAACGCAATACGGACTTTGGAATTGGGAGTAGCAGGTCTGAATCCTGGTTCTACCAATTACCTAAGTATGACACCTGGGTGAGTTATCTCAGTTTCTGAGCTTCAGTTTTATCTATTAAATGTATTGTATCTCTTGAGTTAATGGATATAAAATGTCTAGTATTGAGGTTGTGATACACACAGTTCTAGTATCCAGGGCTGAGAGTTCCACAATTGAGATTGTCATAATTCAAGTCAAATTTTGCTATAAGGCATTTTTCTTAGTAGACACAGTGTAGAGATGCCAACACATGGCCCTTGCAAAGGCACAAAGGCACAGACAATGAATAAACAGAAGCAGGAGGATAGCTGGAAGCATAGATTCCTACCTAAAACCCCAAGTAGGTCAGGCAAGTCTGTAGTACCTTCTGGTTACTCTCTCTTCTATTTACAAATCTACCTTCCACCCCCAACACCCACCAATACCAGAAGCTTTTCAGGAGCAGAGATATTAACCAATTTAGCTTGGGGCCCCTAATTCACATCACAGCTAATGAGACATTGTAGATGTTTGGGAAATGTTTGCAAACTAAAATGGAAATGACTCTGCAAATGAGCTGTTTCAGGCTCTAAGAAGGAAAATAATGGGCAAAACACGATCAGCAACTAAATGTTTAAGAAAGAATTTAAAGTAACCGATCAGCAACTAAATGTTTAAGAAAGAATTTAAAGTAAAGCTGAAAGCAAGTCAAGAAGTACCTGGAAGGAAATGTTCTCCTGCACGTCTGAAACACCCGCACACACAGATGCACACGCTCCCGGTACACACTCCAACACCTTTAACAATTCACCTTCTGAGGGAGCCACCGCTGGTGGACTCCAGTTTAAGTAAACCACTCTAAGGCATGAGCTCGCACGCTTCCTTTTACTCTATACAATTGAAACTATGCCCAAAGAATGCTCAGATGGACCTTGGTGATTTTAAACATGGCTTATTCTGAAAGTCTTGCCCCTAGTACACTACATACGCTATATTATGGCAGTACCTTTTGACATGTTCATCTTTGAACCTCCCACTCCTAAAATAGTATCTGGCACATAGTAAACCTTCAATCTAATACGTAGAAACCAGGTGCTAAAGGTCTCTTCTCATGCAACTCAATAAAACATCACATAAAAATAGGTGTTGGTTTGAAGTTCTTTCACATTATTATCAGGTTGTCACAAATTGTTACACAGTGACTGAAATGCCCATGTATTTTTAAGGCACTAGACAAAAATCTAGGATTTGAAAAAAGATTGATCACCTGTTGAAATGTTGCTTCCTCCAGTCCTGATCGATGGAATTCTGCAAGGAGGGCTCTCAGGAAGCTCTGTTCCATAACCGAGGAATTTCTTAAAGGAAATAAAGAGATGTGAATTCTCAGTAAGTGGCTACACCAACATGGAGAGGAAAGCCAAATAAAACTTCTCTGCATCTTTAGAGACAGAAAAAACCTGGGGACTACTTGCTCCTGTATTATTCAGTAAGGGTCCCCCTAACCTCCTAAAAGTCAAAATGACATAATAAATGCCACTTTGGAAGCAAGGGGCACAGCAACTGCATCTGGAAAGGCACCAGCACCCCCATCTCATGAGCTGAGCACACCCATCAGTGTGCGACAGGTAGCCTATTTCTCGTTCTCACGGCACGTCACTGAACACCCACACTGTAACTCAGTTCATGGAAATTCTCCTACTGTACTAGGTTTACATCCCTGACTATGTCCCTCAAGAAAAAGGACAGCGTCTTCAACAAATGCAGGGGGAATGAGTAAAAGCTTTTGAAAGGGAAACATGCTTCCACGGCCTTCCCAGACTGCGGCCCTATCCAGTGGTCTTCCAAAGAGGCCCAGGGCCAGGAAGCAGAAGCATCTTACTTGATGGCAGTAACGTATGACGATGAAAACATCTCCTCCACCGCTTCCAGTAAGTGGGCTACAGTGACCAGGCCAGGGGAGTCAGGCTTCCGGCAGGAGAACTCGCAGATCTCCGTGGCACGCCTACAGATGTCCAGGCAGCGCCTTGCATCTCCAGAGAGGGCTGCTACCTTCAAGAGGGAACATTTTATTCCTTGAGTTCCCCTTGCCATATCAGCCCAGGAGAAAAACCAACAGATTCCGTGTTCAACTAAAAAAGTAAAGGCAATGCTGGAAATGGACTTAAGCCATGAAGGTAAGCACTCAGTCCTGGCTGGGAACCCAGAAGCCAGACATAAATCATCACAGGCACGTGCTGCTTAGCAATGGGATGCTCTCTGAGAAATGCCATCAGGTGATTTCGTTGCCGTGCAAACATCTAAGTACATTTACACGCCTACATGGTATACTTTTTAGTAGAAAAAAATACACCTTAAATGATTAGTAAATACATACACTAGTAACAGTCTTTTATTATCAAGTATTGTGTATTATAAATTATTGTATATGCTAAACGTTTACAGAACTGGCAGCACAGTGGGTTTGCTTATAGCAGTATCACCACAAACACATCTCACAATGGCTATGACATCACTGGGCAATAAGGGTTTTTCAGCTTCATTATAATGTTATGGGCCCACTGTCATATAAGCGGTCCTTTGTTGATCAAAATGTTATTATGCAGCACATAACTTTGTACTGTGCCTGGGACTCCTTTCTACGTCCAAACCTTTGTCTTGGTTTTACAAATAACTCCACAGTGGGAAAGGCAGAAATTCTTGGCTTTATTTATATTAGGGACCCATGACCCATGATCACACTGAAACATCTGGAAACACACGGATTCTCATTCCTTGCAGGATGAGAAAAAAATGTGCCCTCAGAAGCAGCCGGGGAAGGCCAAGAGACAAAATAGGCGGGGCCTATTCTGGAGGTAAAGCCACAGCTGGGACTCCCTCACAGCATGTGGTGACTTTTGGAGACGGCCTGGCCAATGGTCCAACAGCCAGCATCAGGAGGGAAGGAGGCCACAAACCTGGGGAACCCAGAGGAGTCTGTGGTTAGGTGAGTCAGACCAACCCACACTGCCAGCAGCTCAGCTGTTGCTCCTTCCTCTGCATGTGCACAGAGGCTGAGGGGCTCTTGGGCTCCCTTCACAAGGAAGCTTATCCTCTCTCCCAAGCTTATTTAGGCCACTTGCAATTTAAATTTCACTGAGGGAATTCTGGGACTCACTGTGGACTGCATTCCCAGTACTTGCCAACAGTCCTGACCATTCGCCTGACAACCATCTCAGGTGACATCCTGCCTAATGACATGCCAAAATGATGATTTCTTTCCAAAATCCATACTACATTAACTTTGAAAAAAAAAAAAAAAAGCAAATTATATAGGCACATATATAGATAGATATACATATCTCTACACACACACACGAAGACAAAAAATAGTCCTGGCTGGTGTGGCTCAGTGGATTGAATGCTGGCCTGTGCCTGGGTTACAGACCAGGTCCCCAGTAGGGGGCACTCGAGGGACAACCACACATTGATGTTTCTCTCCCTCTCTTTCTCCCTCCCTCCCCCTTTCTAAAAATAAAACAATTAAAAAAAAATCTTTAAAAAAAAATAAAAAATTGTTTCTGGGAAGTAGGATTACAGGAGTTTTTCAATGTTTTTGTGTATACTGTTTTCAGATTTTAAATTTAAGACATTCAAAACAAAAATATCAGTTTTCCAGTAACCTAAGACAGAAACTGAGTATCAGTTTATATTCTTCCCTTCCTGTAATCTCCCAGAGATCCAGGTGGTAAGGATGTTTCCCTGTCGTATCTTTCTTCCAATCAACATTCCCATGGCCTTGGGAAGCAGTACTGTGTTAATAGCGTGGACTCAAGCTGCTGCACAGGCCTAAAAACAAAATGCACAGGGAACCCTGGGAGGCAAGAAAACACCCCAAACAGTCCTCACCCTGAGACTATCTGTGAACCTTGGTGACCATAAGCATCCCTTTTGACTCCTGCTGTGATGACAGAGACAAAAGAAAAAGCTTGGTCCCACCCAACATGCAATCTGAAAGAAGACCCTGCATGATCTTGGGAGTTGACCTCAGTATGAGGGTGAATGAGAGACTCATCATGCAGAAGGAATGGCAAGAAAAATGACCTGTTTAGACCTTGGTCGAAGTGATGAAGAGTAAAAAAACTCACTGAGTCTTTTCAGTCACAAGCCTTCACATGGATGTCTATCTCCTAAAAACCTCAAGTGGAAAATTTTTGTTTCAAAATGGTGCCGGTTGATAGTACCCTTTGGTAACTGACAGAAGCAATAACAAATTCTACATGAACTCAACTTCAACCGAGGCCTCAACTAATTCTCAAATAAAGCTCTAAGGAAAACGAGCATACAGGAAAAAAATGAAACAAAACAAAGAAAACTAGACAGAATAACAAGGAAACAAGGCCATATACGCATGGGAACCAGCAATCAATACAAGTGGACTCACAAAGACTTTCTAATTATAGGAGACAGAATACAAAATAGGTATGTTTCCTTATGTGTAAAGAAATAAAAGAGAGGTTTGAAATTGCAGGCAACAGTTTTGGGTGAAAACATTCAAATCTGATGTCTTCTGAAACCTTATTGAAAGACCAAGAACCATAAATAAAGGAAGCAATAGGAGTAAACAATATAGTTCTGCAGTTGGAAAGAGGTGGCAGAGTAGTGGCTGATTTAGTAGACTGAAGAAACACAAGAATAAGCCAGTAATGAGGAATCTAAAAGCAAATCTAAACCACACTGAAAATCTATAAAATGCTCAGGTTTAGTGGTATTAGAATTAGAGGTAAAGGGGGAAGTCTGACTAAAGTAAGGAGTAGTTAAGAAACTGATGCCCTATACCAGGAGTCAGCAAACTATGACCCGCCACACATTTTTGTAAATAAAGTTTTACTGGAATACAGCTATGCGTATTCCTTTACCCATTGTGCATGGCTGCTTTTGGTGATGCAAGGGCAGAGTTGAGCACTAGGACCACTGAAGGGACAGTTTAGGGCTCTGTAAGAAAATTTTGTGTCATGTTAATTTGTACTGTTTGCATAAAACTGTTTGCCCTGGAGATGGTCCCTCTCAGACTATGGCAAGAGACCCAAGATTTATTCTCAAACAAGAATGAACAAAGTCTCTAGACCAAAGACATTAGTAATTACGGCAGGGAAGGGGATGTCCCTCGACATTTACATGCTGAACTGACTCCGGCCCACCTCACCCACCTCTGGAACACTGCCCTCCAGACAGCGCACAGGAAGCCTGCTATGGGAAATCTGACCATCCCCATGGGAAACTACTCAAGATATGGAAACTGGCCAGTCGGATGATCCCAGTGAAACTCCCAGTGAAGCAGTTCCACTCATGTGCTCAGAGCTCCCAATTAGCTTTGTAATCTCCATTCTTACACCTGAGTGGACAACCAAAACATCTGAGGAAAGTAAGAATGCAAGAAAAACCAACAGACAAAAGTATCGTGGAGGAAAAGGAAGAAGACAGCCTCATTAAATAGGGTGGCATAAAAAAATGACCATTTGGAGAAAAAAAAAAGAACTTTTAGAAATTGCATTACAGCAGAATTAAAAAAACTCTCCTCACTAGAAGGGTTTGATGGTAACTCTGGGGATCTGAGAAAGCAAAGCTTGGAGACAAGTACCTATCTGGCTCACCTGACCCCAGAACCTAACACAAGAAGTGGCCAGCTCTGAGCAGGTGTTATATACACGTGCTGCTGCTATAGGCAGAGTTCACATCTTCTCGGGCAAGACACTAGAAATGGAAATATGTTTATAATTCTTGCAGATGCTGAAATACTGTGGATGTGTGGTTTCTTGCCTTCAGCTTGAGGGAGGTATTTAACCCACTTTATTCCTGAGCAGCCTCACAGACTAGTCTTGGCGGAATCTCGTTGAGCATTCTATTCTCCCAGTGACCCTGGAGGACACAGGTAGTCCAAATCTCATACCTACGCTAGGCAGTTACAGACATGATTGAATTTAATTCTCACAACGACCCTACGAGGTGACTAGTATTAGTCTCATCTTCCAGAAAAGTAATCAAAGGCACAGGAAGTTTTAAAGTATTAATAACTTTCCTAAAACCTCCGCATGCCTATTAAGTGTCAGAGCCAGAATTCAAACCTGGGATCTATTTAACTATTCTTCCCTTTTCATTCTGTAAAGCTTCCTGCTTCCTGAATCAATTAATCTTCATTTGTATATAAGCCCACCATAGTCATAGCTTTCTAATCAATTATACAGTGAGATTTCAGGAATTTTTCAGAACTTTGTTTCTACATTTTATATTTGTTTTTATAGGACTTCCTAAATTTCTCTTCATACCTGGAGTATGCAGCACAAAGCTGTACACCAACAGGTGCTTAGCAGAGAACTGCCAACTGGTTTGTAGGTACTACTAGGATCTCTGGAGGGTGACTTACCTTCCTGGCTACCAGCTGGATGGCATCATCCTCAAAGGCCTTTAAATGTCTGAGTCGGGACACGAGGATCTGCTGCAGTTGCCTGTAAGTGTATGGCTGGAAGCACATCCTGGTGAGACCCTGGGGAGCCAAGATGACAAAGGAACAAGTTCACTGATTGCCCTCTCTGACAACCCTGGTGGAAAGCCACCCACTAGTCCCTAGACCCAATTCCTAGGTCCCACATAACACTTCACAGAATCCATGCTGGGACTACCACTGCTTCCAGCTCTTCGTTACTGACAATGGCCAGTGGTATCCTGTAGGGCAGTAGTTTTCAACTACTTTTCATTTAGTTTAAAAGATCCTTTTATTCTACCAAATCATTGCGAAGTAAACAGAAGTAGAGGCGCTCCAGTTAAAGTGGGCAGGAGGACCTTCAGCTCTGGGATCTGTGCAGGCACAGCCCCTGGTGTCACTCATCACGCTTGTGAGGACCAGATGCCAAGCTTCCTGCTGAACCACGTGCGGGTCCGGGAGGGCAGAGACCACGTCTGCCTTGCTCACTGCTACGGTCTAGGCATCTTACACTGCGTGGGAAGGATAAGTACTTAAATATACTTTAAAAATGATTAAACCTCCAGGGCTCTGCAGTTCTAGAGTGAACAGGTTAGCAAAACATCAAGATACGTTTGCAGCACATCATGTAATGATGACATATTTAATTCCAACTTAAAATGGTAAGAATTTCTGGCTGGTGTAGCTCAGTGGATTGAGCGCAGGCTGAAAACCAAAGCATCACAGGTTTGATTCCCAGTCAGGGCACGTGCCTGGGTTGCAGGCCATGGCCCCTAGCAACCACACATTGATGTTTCTCTCTCTCTTTCTCCCTTCCTTCCCTCTCTAAAAATAAATAAATAAAATCTTTTAAAAAATGGTAAGAATTTCAGGAACCATAATTTCTTTCTTTTTAAAAAAAGATTTTATTTATTTTTAGAGACAGGGGAAAGGAGAAAGAGAGGGAGGGAAACAACAAAGTGTGAGAGCAACACCAATGGGCTCCCTCTCACACATCTACAACTGGGGACCTGGCCCACAACCCAGGCATGTTCCAACCCAGGTGGAATCAAACCACCAACCTTTCCATTCCCAGGCCAGTGCTCAATCCACCTAGCCACACCAGCCAGGGCATGAACCGTATTTCTTACTTTTCCCGTTTATTTGAATTTCCTATGTATTCATTTTTGCAGAATTTCTTGGCCCCCCTTCTGGATCTGTAAGAACAGCTTGAGAATGGCCCTAGGACCTACCAGTCGGCTGGACACCCGGTTCATCATGATGCGCTCTGGCAGGTCCATGGTGTTGGCAATGGTCAGGACCACAAGCCGGGCCTCCTTGTGAGTGGGCCAGTCAAAGAGATTGTACATTACGTCTTGTTTCTGAGTCCACAGAAGGTCAAGCTGCCAGGAAATTAAGAGCGAGATGCAGGGTCAACCACAGAGACCTGTTCACTGTGGTTGAACATAGGCCAGGGCCCCAGAACATAGACCTGTTACCATCGCTTTAACAGCATGTGTTTCTCAGGTCATGTCCCCAAAGCAGCAAGGAAATCAATGGGCATGTGCCTCTGGCGACCAGAGAGCAGGCTACAACAAATGAAGAGGGGAGCCATAACTCCCCCCCCGCCCAGTTATTTGCTCCCAGAACATCAGTCAAGAACCACACCCCTTCTCTACCAGTCCTCCTATGGGCATCTCCTTACCTCGTCCACAAGCAGCACAGTGGTTTCCTGAGAGGTTCCTCGGGTGCAAAATCGCTTTGCCAGCAGTTCTACTGCATGGTTAGCTGTTGCCTTTTGGCCTGTCATCTTCTGCATTAGGGGAAAATAAGTGGTAAAGCATAAGGACTTTCCTCCCCCAGGCTTACAGTTAAATCTGCAAATAGAGGAAGCTATTTAGTCTGAGGACTTCAGGATCCTATACGCTGACTCTGCCTTCTACTCTAGTCTAACCTAAACACGGAAGGAGAAGAGAAGGCAGTAAAACAGAAGATAAAGTCTGTGTGATTGAAATGCAAATGAGGCACAGACTGGTCCCAAAAGACACTCCAAAATCATTACTTCATGACTCTATTTAAAACCGGACATAATTTGTTATGACAACTTATGAACAATAGAGCGAGGTTCAAACTCTGGCCTACCTCTAATCCCTTTTCTATTTTTTGCCACACTGCCTCCTATGTGTGAATAGTTCCCACCATGTTAGTAAGTACTGGCTTCTAGTCATTCATATCGAGCTCCTAGACTTTAAGATGCTTGAGGGTAGGAATTCTGCTTTCTTTGCCCTTGCTATCTCTATATAAAGGGCAATGCCTGGTATGTTGAAAATATTTCTGGCATTGGCTAGTGTGACTCAGTAGACTGAGCATCCACCTGTGAACCAAAAGGTCACTGGTTCAATTCCAGGTCGGGGTTCATGGATTGTGGGCCAGGTCCCCAGCTGGGGCGTGCAAGAGGCATCTGGTCCATGTTCTTCTCACACATCAATGTTTCTCTCCCTCTCTTCCCCTCTCTCTAAAAATAAATAAATAAAATCTAAATAACAACAACAACTTTGAGATTGGCCAAAAAGTTCTTTTGGTTTTGTTAGATGGCTCTAGTAGCACTTAGCTGTCTTTAACTTCATTTGAAACAATTTTGTTACATTGTATTGTGACAGCTGTCCTATCAGTGTGCATTAAAAAAAACATCAAAATTGGTGAATTTCTGTGTAGCCATTTTAATATTGAAGATGGAAGAAAATAAGCAACATTTTCAGCTTTACTCTTTCAAGAAAGGTAAAAACACAACTAAATGCAAGAAAAAATTTGTGCAGTGTATGGAGAACGTGCTGTGACCAGTCAAACGTGTCAAAAGTGGTTTTGGGAAGTTTCACGCTGGAGATTTCTCACTGGGCGATGCTCCACGGCCGGGTAGACCAGTTGAAGTTGACAGCGATCAAATCAAGACATTAACCAAGAACAATCAATGTTATACCACGTGGGAGATAGCCAACATACTGAAAATATCCAAATCAGTAAAGTTACTGGTGAAAGTGAAAAATGTGCCTTTTATTTTATGGAAAAAACTACAGACTTTTTGGCCAACCCAATATGCCACATGCACAGAATTAAGTAAATATTTCTCTTTTCATGTGCCACCGAGAAACTGTGTTTTCCAAAAAGCCCAAACTGCTTTGCTTACCTGCAAGATTTGCACATAGACTTGGTGGGGCTCTGTCAGCTTCATGCCATTGACTTCAATGTACTGAAAGGGAGGAACATCCTTTGCTTGGGCTGCCTGCTGCAGGCAGTGTATCACCTCGTGCACAGTGGCAGTCTTCCCTGTCCCAGGCACCCCAGAGATATACATGCACCTAGGTAAGAAGGGAAGACGCGTAGGTTAGGCCCGTGCCAGCTGCCTCACGTTATCACCAGCTAGGAGTGTGCAAATGTGTGCTGAAGGAAGGGCCAAGACCCCTAAAACGTGGAGGTGGGGGCAGTAAGGGTCATTCTAGGAAGCTGGTCAGAGCAGGACCTGTTTCCGTAGCATCATTCATTCCATAAGCAATGCTGCATGCAAACTGCCTACCCAAAGGCCAGTTTCATTTTCCTCTAAAAACAAACAAACAAACAAACAAAAAAGCCCCCCCAAAACAAACAGAATTTCTATTCCCACAGAATGACTTTGACAACAAAAGCTGCTTCAGAGGCTTCAGCAACAACTTTGCCTGTTCTCCTGACACCGGGGAAAGGCCTTGTGGTTGAACTATGACACCTGAGGGGATGTACTAATAGGCGTGGTCTCCCTCGATCATCCTGCCTGGCTCAGCAGGACTCACCCTCCAGTATGGTCAAGGAGTTTGCTTTCCACAAAGTTGTAGATATCTTGAAATTCTTTTTCCCGACAGGGAAGTGAGTCAGGAACAGCAGAAACATGCAGACTAAATAACGAAAAAGAAGGACTTCAGAAGCATTTCACCATCTACTCAATAATAAATGGAAAAGACTTATCTATAGTTTCTATATAAAACCTTGATTACAAATCCAAGGGAATATCTTCGCTCTCAATTCACTTCATGTGGCCTCCTAATCCCTTTTTCCACCCAAATCACCAACTCAGTGGTTCTAACCAAAGGTATATATCACCTGGGAAGCTTTCTCCAAATCACATGGGTAGACCTCATCCCACAAGAGATTCTAATTCAGTTGATTTCTGGCAGGATGTAGGCTTGTGTATTTTGAAAAAGTCCCAACATAATTCTAAAGGGTTCCATTAACTGAGAAGCAGTGTCCTGACTAATCACCTTCCACCCCTGAGAAAATGATGGCAGTAGCCTGGAAGGTCACTCCTTTTAAAACCTGTCCATATTAGCTGACCCAGACATGACTCGAGAGGTTTCTTCTTTCCCAACACAGAAGTTCATTTTACTCTATTACTCCTATTTCATGTGAGTGAGAGCGAAGGCCCATTCCTTCCTATCTGAAAGGGGCCCACGAGCAGTGTTACCTCAGGCGGGCCTCCTCTAGCATGCTGGCTGGCTCCTGGGCAGCCAGGCTTCGGCTGCGGATCTGGGGAGTGGCAGAATGTGGCCTTCTAGACTTGGGCTTTATTCAAAAGAGAGAAAGAGAACATATTTCAGTAGGAAAAAACAAAGAAAAATATCATTCAGGACACATCAGCAAATCTGCTTCCAGGTGACTTGCTAAAAAGAAAAGAGGTGGTGAATCCCGCTTAGTTCTTGTATGTATAGAGTACCTATAACTGTCCACCTCTCTCCTCACATCACACATACGCTGTGTTCACAGTCTGAACATGGTTTCTTTTTTCTAATTTATACCTAGTAATTAAGATTTGAAAACAATGTCGATCTGGGGAAAGAATGGATAAAAGTATGGATTAAATACTATTTAAAAGTAACACAATACTTTGAAAGACAGACAAGAAATTACGAAGAAATCCTAACAGCTCTACCCAACTATAGTGTAGAGTAGGAGGCAAAAATTTCATTTATAGGGTCCTCCTCTATGTTTATTTGAAAATATGGTCAAACTTTAGCTCAGGACTTCTACAATACAGAATTTGGAGAAACTGCACCAGATTTTTCCACTCCAAACCCCAGGGTCACTGCTCAGTCCAGGTTAAAGCCCTGTTTTCTCATCTTCCTTGCGGCTGGCTCACTAGAACAGGCCTGCTACCCCTTCTTCATGGTGTTTCCACAAAGCACTCCCTTCTGTGGGCATTTCACCTACCCAGCCTCTGCTTCCAGCCAGGCTACAGAGCAAAGACAATCTCTCCACCTCTTTTGCAGGCAGAAAGTACAATTAGACCCTGTTTACTGGTTTAACATCTATTACCTTTGGAGAAAACAAGAAAGGAGTAAAAAAACCTTGCTGAGAAGGTATAAAAAATTTGGTGGACTTCTGACTTTTTATTATGTAAGATGCCCTCATACCCTACCTCTTCTGGGTGGGACCCAAGAGATTAACTCACCCTAGAAGGCAGGCAAACTGTTTACTTAATGAAGAATTCCAGGTAAGACTGCCTCACGCCCAAAAGTGACCTATGGGATTTCCTTTTCCAGGGGGGTTCCAAAGAACATTATGCTCCAGAAAAAAATGTTAACTGGTCAAAGACATACTCTAAACCTCTTTGAAGATCATAATAACATTAATATGTTAATGGCCTTGACAAGTCATGTGATACTGAAAGCAATTCAACTTCGTGTAATCCAAACATTTCTCACACACATTTGAACATGGGAAGACTCTTTTCTTAATAGCTTTCAACTTTCTACCAAAGCTCCACTGGAAGCACAAGACATCAATTTATTTCTTTAATCTTAGCCACTGCGCAAGTCATTACCAACAACGGAGTAGCGCTCCTGTTTCTCAGGTGTATCGAGCGGCATGAAACCAACAACAGGGCTCCGCAGCCCAGGATGCAACACCTCGTGGGCACTGATCGTGCACAAAGCACTCTGCTGGGTTTACTGGGAAACACAAAGAGGAGGAGCCAGTCCTTGTCCTGCCCTCTGGAAGTTCAACTCTTAGCCACTGGACTGCAAATCTTAACAGGAACCTGGATTCAGAAATCACTATCTGCTGGATTCATTTTCAGCCCTAGGGTTCAGGAACATTCCAAGTGTACCAGCTTTGAATACTGAACAGACCTGTGCTCAGAATACAGCTGCTACTAGTAGCACTGTGACCCTAGCCATCACAAGAAAGAGATGCTTCACTGGAAAATGAAGCTAAAAGAACCTTACGGTTTTCTTTGGTGTCTTGGAGGGGGTCTTTAAAGACGACTTCATGGAAGAGTGTAGGTTCCTGGGTGTTCTCCTTGGAAGGGGTGGTGTCGAGGCCTCTTCCTTCTCACTATCAGAGTCTGAAATCTCTGCTGCCGGCAGAAACTCTTCCTCTTCTTTGTCATTTTTACTATTACCTAAAAACCTGAATGGTGGGGCACATTTTCTGATATTCAGTGTGTGAAGTCTAAATAACAAGTGCCCTAATAGGTCAGTGTAAATTAAAGGTGCTACAGAGTCTCTCCTGAGGCTGAGCAATACAGAGTGTGAGAGCAATACAGAGAGTAGCACTTCCTTGCTACTGAGGTGCTCTGCTAAAGGCATTATTTATAGTATTTTTGTGCCTTGTATATTATTATCGCCATTTTACAGATAAGGAAACTGATGCTTAGAAAGGTTACATAACCTTTCCAAGGCTACACAGATAATCAACAACGAAGCTCAGTTTCAAACCCAAGGCTCTCAGAATCCAAGTTCAATCACACCTTAACAGTCTTGCAAGGTGTGATTATGGGGCCCTAAGAGCCACCTATGCCAGGAGCAGTGTGTCTTGCCCCTTTCAAACTATGACATTTATGTGAAATTAACATAATTCCAGACATACTAGGTAAAAAGATGAATTTCAGTGGAATAGCAAATAACAACCAAGAACTATAAGAGGCTTTAACAAGTTGATAGATATCATAGATGGCAGTGATAAACATTTTTCTGCAGGCCAAGGAGCACTCTTACCGAAGTTGCTGCCTAATCCGATTCAAAGTCAAGAGAGAACTCTTTCTGCGGATCCGATGGGGAATAGAAGTAGCTTCATCCTGAGCTTCTGGTTGTTTTGCCTCCCTGCAAGATGCCACAGCAAGGTTATGAAAAGCAGTTTCGGGCACTAGGGATCAGTGGCAGACACTAGAAAATAGTCAGATGGCCTAACTGGCTACTATTCTTCTTACAGGAGTTAATCATTTCGCTAAAAAGTTTATAATTTAGGTTTGACTCAAACCCAGAGATCAAAATTTGCTTGAAGCTTATTATTTAAATTAGACTCACCATCTCCCCACCTAGAGACCAGAATGTACCAACCCCAGGCAGTTTCTCTTTTTCTTTCCAACGTGTTTATGAACTCATGGTCCACCCAGCTCAAGGTTAGTGGGAATGTAGCTATATATTAAATATAAAGCATTTATAAAGCAAACTTTAACATTTTAGTGTTCTGGGTGCTGGAGTTTCTGAGCAGGAAACACAGAAATGTGTAATTTCTGGCTTCTCACATTAGTTGCATAGTTCGTTATTTACAAATACTGTCGAGTGGCAAACTGTAAACTTTATTCTAGATGCATTATCTTCCTATACTACATGTATTTGAGAATAGTTTTTTTAAAAATACTAAGAAAATGGCTGTTAAAATGTGGCAAAGAGTCCCAGCAAATAATGAAATCCAGGACTCTGAAGCAATTCAGGTTTGGGAAACGATCTTCTGAAGCAGTGATCCCCAAAGGACAGGTAAGGTATACCAGAATCATCCAAAGAGCATTTCAAAAATGCAGATTTCTGGGCCCAACATTTAGAGATTGATTCGCTGTTCCTGAAAAGAGGCTCAGAAATCTGTATTTTGGAAAAGCTCCTGGTGATTCTATGACACATTCAGAGTTGGGACCCACCGCTCTAATTTTACTGACTGTGACCCAAACACACCCCATCACGTGAACCATCTATCTGCTCTGTGGGGGGAGAATAACATCCCAGTTACCTCTTTTTGATCTTTTCTGGCTTCAGAACCACAGAAGGCACCACCGAGGACCTCCTTCCCCCGCTGAAAGGCTCAAGTGTTATTTTCTCACTGATTTCTGTGGTTTTCAAAGCTGGAACTCGGGTTCTCAGGGTCCTGCGACACTCATGTGAAGCCTTCTTGTCCTCCTCAGCATAAGAGCGTCGAATCTCCCCAGTTTTCTCTGGGGCTTTCAGAGCTGGAGAGGAGGCCTGCAGTCCATCAAGCTGAGACCTCTTAGAAGGTGAGGTGATCTCTGAGGCCACTTTCCGTTTAGTTCTTCCGGGAGAATCCAAAGAGGCCTGGGACTTCTGCTGGGAAATCCTGGTGTTAGGTGGCATAGGGAAACCTAGACCCAAGAGAAATCACCACAGACAATGTGTAAGTTTTCCTACTAACTCCCAATCTGTTATAGCTAAATTCAGCCACTGAAGTCATACAAAGACATGAGTTATCCATATTTTGAATTATTCCATGATTTCCCCCCTAGACAAGGTAGCTATATTATTTTTAATCCCTTTCCTATTCCATGGGTGATTTTCCCAGTTAGAGCCATAAGTTGACTATTGAGTCAGCATTTGTAAATAATGGTTAATTAGATTTCTATGAAGTACTTTATTAGAAAAGTGGTTTTCAACTAGGGGTAATATGGCACATCCTCAGCCCCCCCTCAACAGCATCTGAAAAAATTATACCAGAGGCTGTTAGGTAACACCAAGGCCTAGTTTTCTCTTAACTCAGATTGAACCCACCAATAGAGAGGACAAGGATCCCGGGGGTAATTGGCTGAATTCAGGGGATACACAGAACCATGTGTGAACCACCTTAGGATTTGCTCCTCTCTCACCATGACCACACACACCCAAAACCCTCCATTCATTTACAGACATCAGCTGAGCTCTTAGAGTGACAAGATATGTGCCAGGTGCTCAGAGATAAGCAAAGTTCAGTGAGACAATCCTGGTCCTCAACTGCAAGACACTCCAGTCTAACATGGGCAATGACATACACAGATGTCTACAATACGAAGTAAAATAATCATCCCAAAGCACCTAAATGCTAATAAAGATGGCTTTTCAGATAGAACATAAAAGAAAGGCAAAATTTCAAGTGTTGAAAAGGAAAGGAGAGGGCTAGCTGGGGAGAATAAGTGAGATCCATGTGAGCTAAGACAATGAGGCAGGAAAGCACTGGGCGCAGAGTTCCCTTTAGTCACAGCTATGGTCCGGGGGAGTAGCTACAGATAAGACGAGAACAGTCACCTAGTGCCTGTGTATGAAAGTTTACAGTGGCTTTCTTACACTCACCAAAAAACTAGGAACAACACAAATGCCTTAAACTGGGAGTAGATAAACTACAATAAATCATAATGGAATACTACATAGCAATAAAAGGAATAAATTCCTGACACATTCAATAACATGGATGAATCTCAAATGCATTATGCTAAGGTAAAGGAGTCAGACTCAAAAGGCTATGTACAGTATGAGCCCATTTATGTGCCATTCTGGAAAAGGCAAAACTATAGAAACAGCAAACAGACGGGTAGTTACCAGGAATGTGAGGGAAGGGCTGGCTGACTACAGAGGAACACAAGGGAATTTGGGGATGATAAAACTTCTACATCTTGATTAGGGTGGTAGTTACACATTTCTATGCATTTGTAAAAACCTGTAGAACTGTTTTTACATTCGTACACAATAGAGGAAAATTCTGCTATATGTAAATTATACCTCAATAACCCTGACTTTAAAATGCTACCTAGGGCCATATCTTATAGATCTTTGAACATGAAGCTAAAATTATAAATTTTTTTTGGTAAATATGAGGACAACTCAGGTATCAATTAATATAAAAATGTCCCAATCTACTGGTCTCCTTCATACTTCATTTTCCATCTTTCTGTCAAAAACAATTCATCTAAAATATTTTTATCATATCCTCCCTCTAATTATGTTATTGGGTCAATAACTTAATTTACTTACTCTTAACTTTCAATGTCCTGCAAAATCAAGTAAAAAACTACAATTCAAAAGGACTAATGACATAGTCCTTATGACTAATAACAGCAAAAGCTCTCAGAACAGCCATAGAGTGGTTTTCAAAGACATTATAAGTGAAAAAAGAAAGATGGAAAAGAGGCCTGCCTATTGTAGCTCAGTGGATTGAGTGTGGGCTGTGAACCAAAACATCGCAGGTTTGATTCCTAGTTAGGGCACATGCCTGGGTTGCAGGCCACAGCCCCCAGCAACCACACATTGATGTTTTTCTCTCTCTCTTTCTCCCTCCCTTCCCTCTCTAAAAATAAATAAATAAAATCTAAAAAGCTGGAAAAGAATATATCCAGTATGCTACCCTATGGAATACTGAATAAAAAAGAATGGAAAGTAAAATTATATGCATATTTGTATGTTTGTGTGTGTGTGTTTATATTTATATCTGATTTTCACAAAAAATAAAATAAAAAAACAAGATAAACCAGAAACTAATAAAGCTGATCACCTACAAAACATGGTAGGAAGAGGATGTGAACGTGAAGAAAGGAATGAGGTTTCTCTGACTATGCTTGTTTTAAATAGTTGACTCTTTAACCATGTTAGCATTTTACATGTCTAAAAAAATTAATCAAATATGAAAAAAGCCCTAAAAATAAACAGAAATAAAAGAACCTTACTGTATATCACCAACTATGTAAATATCAGAAGAAAAAGTTTAATCAACTTCACTTCCTCAGTGGAATATATTCTAAAAGCATAAAGCACTGCCAATAAATTTTTAACTTTTACTCGGGGAGTCTGCTGTCGGTGGTAGGGTTGGTATAGCTCCTGTGAAACTCGTGTGTATCCAGCTTGCTCCTGGGAGCCAGGGCGCTTCCTCGTGAAGAAGGGTGATGCGATCACAGATTATGGGAAGAAGGGGAAGAGCCCTATGGTCTATACACTAGTCAGTATGATTTCAAGACTTTTAAAATATGTTTCTTAGCTCTTCTACTAGGGATCTAAAAGCAATGTCACCTTAGTAGCAGAGATCTTGAAGAAACAGCTCATTACAGCTCATTTCTCGGATCAGTAATCACCGAGAAATACGACAATGACGTACCATCGCACACCTATGAGGATGGCTACCTTCAAAAAGAAAAAATGACGAGTGATGGGAGGAGGTGGAGAAATCAGAACCCTTGTGCACAGGTGGGGAAAAAATAAAATGGTACAGCTGCTATGCAAAACAGTATGATGGTTCCTCAGAATATTAACAAAATTATCGTATCATCCAGCAATTCTACTTCTGTGAATGGACCCAAAGGGAAAGCAGGGATTCAAGCAGATATTTGTGTACCTGCATTCACAGCAGCATTAGTCACAATAGCCAAAAGGTGGAAGCAACCCCAATGTCCACTCACAGACGAATGGATAAACAAAATGTGGTACGTACACATACAATAGATTATTTATTTCAGCCATAAAAAGAGGAAATTTTGACATATAACACAATATGGATAAACCCTGAGGACATTACACAAACTTAAATAAACCAGTCAGAAAAGGACAAATACTATAGGATTCCCCTTATATGAAGTATCTTGCGTGGTCAAATTTAGAGACAAAGTAGAACGGCTGCCAAAGGATGGGGGAATGAGAAGTTATTGTTTAATGATTGGGAGATGATGGTGATGGCTATACAACAGTGTGGGTATATTCAATGCCAGTTAACTGTGCACTTAAAATAAATTAAAACGGTAAATTTTTTGTTATATACATTTCAAAATGTGTCCAATCAGTACCTAGCCCACTGCTGCATTAACTCAATACTGTAATATGAATTAGTATTTTATCATTTCCGCTAGCCTCAGTGTTGCCCACTGTGACCCACTCCACACTTACTGCCAAGCTCTAGCCTCTTCCTTGCCCTTGGAGTAACGGGATGGGTACGAGTTTGGTGAGATTTGGAAGTGGAGTGCCTCGATTCAATGCTTTTGACCACACACTCTGCTGCGGTCCAAGAAGGGCTTTCTACGCTGTTTATCTTAGCTTCCATGGGCTTCCAGCATCTGGGACTGCCTTCCTGTAGCTTATCCAAGTCTGCAAGTAGTTCTGGGGATAATGGTCTAAAGTTCTTCTTATTCCAAGAGAGTTTCACAAAGAACGTCTTCTCATTTTTCATATTCTTAGGTAACAGTTCATCTGGGGCTAAAGCCACGACCTGAATTTGGGAATAAGTAAATAGAAAGCAATGAGGACCAAAATAGCTAAGGAATGCCCCCAGGAGAGCTATGATTACAAAGCATTTTAAGTCTGCACCCTTACCTGGAACTTCACTTTTCCAAACTAAAGAGGCACAGCCATGGCACAGCACATTTCTGCAGACTCCTCCTCGCTGATCGCCATACCCCATGCTGCTTTCTTTCCCAGACCATTCTATTCAGCTATTCCAAATTTCCCCACAAACACTTCTTTAAGCATGCTTCACTGCTCAACAGCCTATAATGGCCCCCACTATAGTGAGATCAGATTATTTAAACTGATTTTCAATGCCTTCTAAAACCTGGCCCCATTTTACCCCCCAAATGCTCAATACTCTTCAAAATGGTTTTCCATCACTGGTTGAGCTTGGCTTGTCACAGTCCTGCTCACTCTCACCATCATGCTCCTGCCTAAACATCTCCTTCCCTCTCTGCCTTTCCAAATGTACCCATCTCGCTGCTCCAACATCTACACCTGGCTTTCACTCCCTCACTCTCAGCCCCCAGATCGGAAAATCCAACTACAGCCATGCCAGACCAAAAGTCTTTCTGCATTACCATGAAACCACACCACCTAATCGCCACAAGATTATACTTCACACCATGATCTAATCTCATTTTGGGTCTGAATTAGTTCAAGGAATACCCCATATCTTAGTTCCCAAACCAGTATCTCAATTCAGCCTACAGCTCACTAGAACCTAATTTATCATAAAGTCCATAACACAAATGTGCCTAGTACTAGTAACTAGTACTCTTTGTATTGATTTAAGCAAGTATATTCAACTTCTCGCAATGCTTCATGCCTACCACAATCACAGCTAAATATAATTTCTGAGATACATTTGCTAATTTCTGCTCATCCCTCAGGTCACAACCTAAATGTCACCCCCTCCAGGAGTCTCCTAACACATGATTTGCGCTCCCAATAAAGATCTGTTGAGATGAAGTAGGCAGACAAGCAGAGAAGATGACGAACAGCAAAAAATTCAATTCCATGGGGTAAATTAGAGTCAGACATAATCTTCAAGTCATGCAGTTTAGGAGGCAGACAGAAATAAGTTCAACATAACACTGAGAATCAAGGCACCACCTACCTGCACTGAGCCAATGATGGTCTCAGCATCAATGTTGCTGTCACAGGCAGGGTAATCATACCAGAATATCTCCTGTGCATCGGGTTTCCGACCCAGCAAATGTCGTCTACCGACAGGGATTTCACAGAATCGGATAAACCACTGTACTCGAGCACGTTTCTTGAAATGAGGTTCAGAATCTAGGAGGGATAGGGAGAAAAGGTAAGGTTAAGAAAATGGGAGACTATTTTATTAGCTACTTCATATGTATCACACACTGTGCTGAGCATTTGATGATACTTGATTAACATACTATTTTAATCCTCACAATAGTCCTCAAGGTAGGGGCTCTGGCTAGCTCCCTTACACAGGAGAAGTAATCAAGTTACAGGGATCTTAAATAATTTGTCAATGGTCACAAGACCAACCAGCAGTAATCTGACACAACCCTCTTCCTAATGGTGGCTATCAGTCATCAAAATAACTACAAAAGGCATTTAAAAGGAGCAATTCTAATCAAGGGCACCGAACAAATCTTACAAATAAATGATTTCAAAGAAGCCATTGAACAGCAGAAAAACAAAAATCCTGGCAGGAATCAGAGCATCAGCCACTGAGATGACTTCTGGCAAACTTATGCTTGCAATCTTCAGCTCCATCATTGTGGACACCATTAGTATCACTCCATACCAGCATTAGCTCCAAGTGAAAGGACGTGCACTCTAGTGCCGCCATCATCACCTCTTCTTCTTCTTAGCTCTTTTCAGAGAGAGAGACTGAAGCACCACACAAGGACTCTAAAATCCTCACGCAAGGGCCCACACTTCAAATAGAGGTCTGTACTGCTGAAGCGCTCTCCCTAGTAGATGTCAGGTTGATGAGGTCTTCCTCTAACTTGCCAAATAGCCTTCCTATCCAGGTAATGTAAAAACATCTTTATCCACCCACTCTACCAGTTCCTTATTTTAGGCATACAAACTGCCATAGAACTAAATACCTCTCATTCCTCTTCTCGCTCTAGGAAGAGGCAGTTCTGTTTGGTTTCAAATTGATCTTAATCCTCTTTTTGGAGCTCTCCCCCATTCTCACCTTTTTGGTCTCTTCTCTGCTTTGCAGATAGTTAAAGGCTCAAAGAATCAGCGGAAGCAATGGCTGCGGACTTGCAGGCTCTGGTTAACAATACTTTCCCTTTTGCTCTTCCAGTTTTAGGGGCAATCGTGGCTTTCTGCACTTACTGACCTCTGGGCAACAATATTTTTGTTCCTCTAGCCTTTTCAACACTTATACACAAGTCCCTCTTGGTAAAAAAACACCTACTAAAGCATTTGTATTACTGACTGTACATCAACTCAAACCAATCCAACTTACCTCTTCTTTCATTATGAATTTGAAATTGCAAAATTCATTACTAACTTCCTCATGCCAAAACTGAAGGACAAGTGTCTAACACAAAGCTAGTCACCTATTTTTTGTTTTCCTCCTTCTTCCTGAATTCATCCTTTTGCTCCATTCTGAAAATCCTGCCTTAATGGCCATTCTCATCCAGTCCTAAAAATCATAGAAAAGCTAAATTCTTGAGCCCCTCCCCAGTCCCCTTTTATGCAGTACTGCTCTAGTGAGTGAGAAGTTCACTACATGGAACAGGGTATAGCTACTGCTAAAGCAATCCCACTTCAGAATCCAGGGTTCACACCCTACATGCTACTGTGAACAAAGGAACCAGTATCTGCCTCTCTTCCCACCTAGAACTTCCCAATTATTCATGACAAGGAATGCTTTTCATTCCAACCCAAAACTTACCATCTTCAAACAGCTCAATCAATTTAGCAACATATGGATTTTCATCATCATCTCCTTTAACCAATACGAACTGTCCAACTTGGATGTGACTCTCAGTAGAACAGCCTTCTGATGTCATGTTCATTTCTCTAGGAAATAAAAGGAAAACATGTTGAAAATCACTTAGTGTGTACCAACTTCTTCAGACCCTCTGGACACAAAGGAAAGCGCTTTCCAAATGGAAAATCCCGTAGATAGTTTCTCTCTGCTAATTCTGACAGGAAACCAAATCACCCAGTTCTATGTAAGAGTAGACAAAATGGGTTGAATAAATTGTTTTAGCATGAATGATTAATCTAGAAGCCTTAATATGAACCCTACTTCTCTTGGTTATTAACAAAGAACAACAAAGGCTTCCGAAGGAATGAAAGCTGCCCAATAACATATCAGATTAATCAGGGATCTCTAGGGCTGGCAGGACATAGTGACCACACCTAATCCTACCCTGTTATCATGCAAAATTACACAGAATCCACTTTAAATAGATATGATATTATCACACACATCAAACTTACTAACCTGACAATGCCTTCCTTTATCACTAACTGCTTTATTTATGCTGCCATTTTCTTGCATCAAATAAAACCTCTCCTTACAATCAGTTCATAATTACTGTTCCTTGGTCCTCAACCTGTAGTAACTAGAACAGGCTAGATACAAGTTATTAACAGTTTAGCCCAGAGAAGTTACATTTCCCAGACAAAATGAATCACTCACTTGTAGGTTTGGTACTGTGGTTTTCCATCCAACAATGGGTTGCCAACCCCTGAATAAGTCTGTCTGGTCTTCAGCCTTGTGGGGCAGCATGCCATGACTCCTGTGTAAAAGCCACTCACTCAGAGTTAACACAACAACGCTCTGAAGGATTACAGGACACTGTCCCTGCCATCAATGAGTTCCACCTTCTCTTCTGCCCCAGCTACACTTCTACACATTTTAGACTTAGACAACATTGTATTTTTTGAGGAAAAAGTCAAGCTCTATGAAGATTAAGCAAAAGCAATTTTGAATCATCTGGGTTTGTCTTGTACCATGTCTATCTCTTCCTACCCAGGAGAACAGGAGGGTCAATATGTAAGAAATGAAACTACAATAGAAATGTTCAGAAGCACTTCCTAGGCACAAGGGACAGTGACAGGTATGAAACATCGAACAACTTGAAACTAAAACACAGTGATACAGTGGTTGGTTTTAAGTGCCTCTGTAACACAATCAAGAAAGGGATAAACTATAAAAGCACTAAAGGACAACTACTAGTGTGAAGAGCCAAAAGAAAGAGCCAGAGAGACTACTGCAATCCGAGGACCAGGTCTTGTGGCTATTCAGGGAAGGGCATCCTATGTGGGTTTCCTGAAATGAATACTGAATAATAATCAGATATTAATAAGATGGAATAAAATGAGGGATTCTAAGACATGGAAGCAAAAACATACAAGAGATATTTAGGGGAATAGAAATGGGTTTTATTAAGTGTATTATTCTACTTATATTAAAGAGAAAAAAAAAAAGTGTTATTTCCCTGACTGGTGTGGTTCAGTTAGTTGGGCGTTGTCCTACAAAGTGACAGGTCACTGATTCAAATGCTGGTCAGGGCACACACCTGGGTTGTGGGTTCATCCTCGGCCAGGGTGCATACAAGAGGCAAATAATTGATGTTTCTCTCTCACATCAGTGTTTCTCTCCCTCTCCTTCTCCCTTCCAACCCCCACCCCTCTCTAAAAAAAAAAATTAAAGTGTCACTAACCTGTATAGCTTTGACAGTTGTTAGGGGTATTATTCTTTGCAGCACACAGGTCCTAGATGTAAGTACGTATTTTGAATAGCTGAAAACATAAGTATGTATTAAAGTACATGGAGAAAAGAAGACATTTTTTAATGAAAAATCCAAACACATATGCTAATCCTCTTTAAAATCTGGAAACTGCAATCTATTAGTCCTAATAATGCTAACCTATTATCTTAAGTTTAAATAATTAAGAAAATAAACCTCATATAAATGTCTAACCACTATGCTACCCCCTAAAACAAACATAAAATTGATACACAAAAATAAAAAGAAAAAAAAGAAGGAAGGGAGGGAGGGAATAAACCTTTCCTCTAAATTGAATGCTTTTCCTATGGGGCTAAAATTTGACAAAATGAGGGCAAAAAAATTTTTTTAATCCAGTATGACAAAATTACTCTGAAATACTAATAGCGGGACCCATCATTGTAGTTTATGTTAAACACAACAGAATCAGAATAGTGTTTTAACATCCTGATTAAACAAGCTGGTTTCCTAAAGTTCAGTAGCATTATGTCCCACATAATTCTTGGGAACATTTTGATCAATAAGGTTTTCTAGTTTTAAAAAAATGATTTTTTAAAAAAGATTTATTGGTTTGTAGAGAGAAGGGAAGAGAGACAGAAAGAAAGGGAGAGAAACACCAATCGGTTGCCTCTCCTACATGCCCGACCAGGGACCAAGCCGCAACCCAGGCATGTCAGCCACCTTTCACTTTGCAGGATGACACCCAACCAACCAATCCACACAGGTCAGGGCTAAAAAAGTATTTTTTAGTATACCTTGTGGAAACTAACTAGCAAAAAGAAGAGAAGATATTGAGTCATCAGTATATACACAACTTACAAATGATGCCTGAATGACTGCCATTAAGAACATCAACAATATAATTCACAACCCAGTACTATTAAAACCAATCTGATTTTAATCAAGTGCATTCTAGAAATGAACAAACAGCAAAGAAGACTGATGAGTAAAAACAAGATTATGGTCAAGTAAAAACTGAATATGCGTAGCTCAGTGAATTGAGCGCAGGCTGCAAACCAAAGTGTCGCAGGTTTGGTTCCCAGTCAGGGCACATGCCTGGGTTGCAGGCCACGGCCCCCAGCAACTGCACACTGATGTTTCTCTCTCTCTCTCTCTCTTTCTCCCATCCTTCCCTCTCTAAACATAAATAAATAAAATCTTTAAAAAAATGAATATGGATTCATATAATCTTCCAATGAAAATTAGTAAAAGTGCTTGACTCTTAGTAAATGTTCAAGGAAATATATAATACTAAGTTCCCTTCAATATGTTTCTTTTAATGGATGATATAACAGAACTCTCAGGAGCAAACTTGGAACTTTTCACCTTTCCACACTGAATCAGGCAAAACAGAGATACGGCTACTGAGATACAAAAGATGCAAGTAAATTAGATTATTCCTAAGCTGTCATTAAAAAATATTGGAATATTACTAAGAGTACTACTTTGTAGCAAACCAGCATCTCTCAGCAAACTTTTCTACAACTCTCTCTTTTTTAAAAGATTTTATTTATTCATTTTTTTAAACAGGGGAAGGGAGGGAGAAAGAGAGAGAGAGAAACATCAATGTGTGGTTGCTTCTTGTGAGGCCCCACTGGGGACCTGGCCCACAACCCAGGCCATATGCCGACTGGGAATCGAACCTTCGACTCTGGCTCGCAGCCCGCGCTCAATCCACTGAGTTATGCCAGCCAGGGTTACAACTCTTAAATAATCGGATTATAGGATAAATGGCCTCATTTGTCACCTTGACTATGATATTTGATTACACTGGCACAATGATCTCATTTTTCAAACCAAAAATTAGCATACAGAAGGACAATCTCCACACCAATAAGGTACTAATGTGTAGTAAATATATCAAATCTATCCTCTCAAATCCTAAATCCAGACTACATTTTAGCTTATTAAATCAGGTATCCTTCAGAACCAAGTCAAGATCAAATTCAACATTCCTTTCCCAGGAGGAGGGCATGAGCTGTGTTCAAGAACAGTAGGACAGCAGTTCCCCTTAGCCTCAGGCAATCCCGCATTTTACAGACCATAAGATGCACCTAGGTTTTAGAGGAAAATAGGGAAAAAATTTTTGAGGTAAAAAAATGTGGTAAAATATTTAATAACTTGTGACCCCACTCCACCGCCATCCCCCCCACCCACTGCAAGCCAGGTAAGCTACATTCAGACTATAAGATGCACCCCGCCCCTCCGTTTCCTCTCAAATTTGGGAGGGAAAAGTGTGTCTTACAGTCCGAAAATACAGTATATTCAAAGACCCTCACTGGATGCCGGAAACTGTGGATATCCAACCCCATACTATACATTGCTTTTTCCTATATGTACATATGTATAATAAAGTTTAATTTATAAACTAGGCACAGTAAGAAATTAACAATAAAACATAACAATACACTGTAATAAGTTATATGAATGTGGTCTTTCCCTCTCTCTCTCAAAATATCTGAAAATGACCCCGAGAACCGAACTGGCTAATGTGTGCGGAGTGTATACAGCCTGGATATGCTGGACAAAGGATGACTCAAGTCTTGTGTGGAATACAGCATGAGAGCACAAGATTTCACTATGCTACTCAGTACCTTGTGCAATTTAAAACATAAATTTGTATTCCTGGAATTTCCCATTTAATATTTTCAGACTGCAGTTGAAGCAGGTAACTGAAACCTTGGAAAGAGAGACGGCTGATGAGGGCGATTACTGTAACTGGTATATATGTGCACAACTGTTGGTGATTCACCCTAGGCTCAGCAAGCAGACGGTATAGGAAGGAAGACTATCTGGGCCTAGACTACATAACCTCCCTCGCCTGGGTCTATCACTCTGCTCCAGGACTGCTGTTAGTGCCCACAAACTTAGTGTGCTATTCTCTCTTCTTGCAAATTTTCATAGGGATGGCTCAGGTCTCAGCCACAACGAAACTTCCTCAGAGGCCTTCACCAATACACAATGGAAAGTTACCTACCCTGCCCTTCATATTGCCCCTCAGAGTCACGTTCCATTACACCACCTTATTACCAAAGCAACAACCAATCCACTACTTTCTTATTTAGTGCTCCCCACATTCGAATGTTGACTTCCAAGAGGGCAGATTGGGACCTTGTCTATCTTGCTCATAACTGCATCTCCAGGGCCTTGGTTAGGATTTGGTACATAGGTGAGTGGACAAATGAATGAGCAAAAATGATTAGGGCAATACCAAGTGTGGTAAGGATGTAGAGCAGCCAGAACTCTCATACACTCCTGAAAGGTATGTGAATTGGCAAAACCACTTTGGAAAACTGGCATTATCTACTAAGTCGAAACGTATGCATAGCCTATAACCCAGTAATTCCAATACAATATACCCAACAGAAAAAACATACCTATCATCAAAAGACATGAATCAGAATGTCCACAGCAGCATTATAAATCAATGAAATTAAGCCAAGTACAACTGCACACAAAGTGGGGAAAATCTCTCAAAATAACAATAAAGAAATCAGACATCAAAAGAATACATACTATATTGATTCCATTTACGTAACATTCAGAAACAGATCAAAGTAACCTGTGGTGTTAGAAGTCTGAACAGAGGGCAACTTAGGTAACTGAAAGGGAGCATGAAAGGGTGTTTCTGGGATGCTGGTCATGTTGTTTCTGGATCTAGATGCAAGTTACACAGCCATGTTCCTTAAGAAAACTCACCAACATGCTGTTTCTAAAACTGGCAGATTAGCTGAGATTATAAAATAAACATTCAAATAATAAAAACTCATTGAGTTGCATATGTATGATTTGTGCACTTTTCTGTATGTATGCTATTTTTTAATGAAAAGTTCAAAAAATTTAGCAAGAGTCCTTCTGAAGAGGCAGCATGAGAAAATCATAGATGTCAGGCCTCTACCGTTTCCCAACTCTCTTATTCTTGACCCAGCATTTCATTTTATCCACCATCAACAAAGATTCACCCAAGAGAGGGTGATGAATAGGGTAAAATGGGAGGCAAAGACTCTGTCTTCTAGAAGATACCCACTGCAGGCTCTGTGTTGCAGATAGCAGAAATCTGGAACACACACACACCACCCGCTCCAGGGGTCACACCCAAGGAAAACAGATAAGGGAGATGCAGTAAAAATAATGATAGCATGTATTTAGTGAGCCAATGTGACAGAAAATGGAACCAAAACTCTTGATGTATTTATTTCATTTAATCCTCCCAGTAATCCCAGAACAATGTTAATACATAGTACCAAGTGCACAGAAGCCTCTCAATAATAAATATTTGCTGAGTGAATATTATCACTTCAAGATGATTTCTTATCCCAATGTTATATAGAATGGCACAGCCTTAATTCAAACCATGAGCAGTCAGATTCCAATGACTGTGCTCTTAACCACTTCACCGTATGTGAAAGTAGATAATGTTAAATATATACCCAAGAGCTTACTTCTGGTGTGCTTATTACAGTAAGTCAGGCTTCCCAGACACTGACTGAGAGGTCAAATGGGGCCAGGTTCCCTTATCCATAAGGTGGAATAATAGAACCTTCCTTTTATTCAACCAACATGTATTAATCACCCATTGTGTGCCAGGCATTGTTCTAGGATTACTGAGGATTAGTTGAAAAAATGCAAAATGGGAAATTCGCTCCATTATTTCCTTAATCCATTGCTCTATTTGTAAGGCACAGTGATTCTTGTTTTTTTGTTTTTTCTTTCTTTTTTCATTTTATTTTTTACTAATTTGGTGAATGTTATGAAACACAAGTCACATAAAGTTTTGCATTCAATTTTAGGGGATCCAAAAACCGTTTGGAGTCCACATATTGCCCTCTGTTATGGTTAAGAACTATCACAGAGGAACTTGGTACATGTTCTCACATCAGAAACCTCCAAAGGCATTTCCAAGCATCCATTACAGCAGGGAAGAGGGGGTACCGTTTTTTACAGACAACTAAAATCGAAAACTGACATTTAATCATTGCATTTTCACAGATAGCAAACCAGGGTAGGAATCTCGCCATCTCATGCCTTTAAGTCAGTGTTTTCCAACTGTCAAGACAGAAGGTCCCTCTATTCTAGGATTAGACTTCTCTCCTGGAAAGGTGGATAGATAAGAGCCCAGCATTTAAGAGCAGCTCAACTAGGGGGGAAAACAGCGACCTAGGTAAGTTTCTGGGAGCAACTGCTACATCTGTAAAATGGTGTAGTAACTTCTGTTGCTCCTACTTCCCTGTGGTGCTTGCTACACTACGGCTCAAAGGCGGAAAAGATGCGCCTCTTTACAATAGCAATCTAGAGAGAAGGGGTGGTTAATATCATCACTGAGTCTCAGGGCTATGTGGGCAGGAATGCTCATGCTTCTCTGCTGTTGGCTCCGGGCTTCCCCACTGCAAACTCATAGCCCCTGACAGAGCGGGAAGCCTTTTTGCAATAGGGATGTGAGAAAGAAACGCTTCCAGTGGACTTAGAATGACGCCTTGCACGTAAGAATCGTTTAATAAATATCTGCTGAATTAATCAATGACTTGAGTGAGTCTACAAATAACAACTTCCTCAGTCCCCGCGGCTCAGGTCCCCCTCCAGCTCGTGGGACGCCACACTCGCGGGGGGCCGGAGATTCCCAAACTTGGGAGTAAGTCCTCCACTTCCCACCGTCTCCACTTCAGGAGTTTGTGGAGACGAGTAACTCTCACCTGAACCAGCTGGACTCCTCTTGCTGGCAAGGGGCCGCACGCTTGAACGGAAACGGGATGCTAGCAAGGAATGGAAAGAAGGTGGAGAGAAAATTTCGCGCCAAACGCCGCGGCTCCGCCCCCATGGTGTCTTCACGTCGCGTCACCAGCCAGCCCGCCCTCCCGTCCCGCTCCCAAAAGGGAGCGTATGACGTACTTACGCCAACGTGCAGCGGCCATCATTGATTCCAACAGCGCCGCCGTTTGCAGAAGGAAGTTCCTTACGCTGCAGCACTTCCGATTTCAAGATGGTCGCCCGAGCTATTTAAGTGAGACCTCCTCCACCTTTCTGCGTTTGTGTGTGTTTTTAAAAGCTGGGTATGACGCACTAAAGGGCCCGACGGAAATAGAACTAAAGGGGTTCTAAAATGGCGAACCGCACAGTGAAGGATGCGCACAGCATCCACGGCACCAACCCTCAGTACCTGGTGGAGAAGATCATTCGGACTCGAATCTATGAATCCAAGTACTGGAAGGAGGAGTGCTTTGGGCTGACGGGTGAGTGGCAGCGCACCGACCCCAACATCGGCCGCGTTGTGGCCCAGTTCTGACTGGGCGCGGGTAGGACTGGACCCTGGGGTGAAACTGGAAGGAATCTGTCTTTCAGAAAAATCTGTACCCCTCTTATATGCCTAGACTTGTGTTGGGCTGTGGGCACACAGGTGGTAGGGTCTTACTACGAATGGTGTCTCACTTGGGTTCTTCGAGTCGTTCCATGTTTAATGATAACTTCCGGGGTTCCAAGCTGTGTTAAACTCGGGGACCCCGAAAGTCTTAAAGGAAAGGCAGCTTCCCCCAACCATCTTAATGATCTTACTATCCCCAAATGTAAATCATTTGCAGTATTTCCACGTTCGGGTCTTGATATACATATTAGTTCTTCAGAGAAGTCTCCTAGGTAGTCTTTTCATCTTTATCCAAATTTTGGCTCCTCTTTTTAGTATCTTTGTTAACTTCCGAGAGCCGTGGCTTCCTCTGTTGTGAAACGAGTGTAATACCCACCTCAAAGAGTTGTTCTAATCGTTAAATGCAATAACATATACTCAATAATTGCTGGTAGTGGTGGTGCTAGTTTTTACCACTGTTGAATATTCTTCTGTTACAATGCTGCCACTACCGCTAGCTGCGTGTGCCCACGAACCAGTCCTATTGTTGCTCTGAGTCGCCGTAAAGTTTTAGTCTTGTAAGGTTTCGTCGTGAACCCTTTTCTCATTACATATTTAAGTCCTTGAATGAACTCCATAACACAGTTACATCCTGTATATGTAGATGTCTGCAAATTTATCTCTCCAGCTCAGATCTCTCCTGAGATCTAAATCTCTAATTCAAAGACATGTTAACTCAATAGTTCAAAAGTAAACTCAGGACCTTTTTGTTCTCCATTAGGTTACGTTTTCTTGTATATTTTCATCATATTCTGCATCTTCATTTAACTACTCATCAATGCTTTCTGTCTTGCCAGGCCATAAACTCCATAAAAATAGTTATCGTGTCCCTCTCCTTTATGCCTCTATCTGTATCTCTAGTAGGTTGTCAACTGTCATGTTGAGTGAATTAATACAGAATTTATCCTAAAGGAACTTGCAGTCTGATACATAAAGTGATTTCCCATTAATGGTAGGTAACATATATTATTTGCTATGTGTCAGGTAGATATTAGCATTTATTTGTATTGTCACATTTGATTCTCACTATAGCCCTTAAACGTTTTATCTTTATTATTTAAACTTTAACTGACAAGCTCAAAGAGAGGTGAAGTGACTTGCCCCAATTCACACAGCTAGTGTTTGATTTTGACAACATTGGAACGTTAGCATCCCATTTTATAGATGAGAAGAGGTTTACACACTGTATGTAGTTTTTGAAGAGTTGTTAATTGTGGTGTGTTTTTTTCCAGTTTTTTAAAGATTTTATTTACTTTTTTTTTTCTGAGAGAGAGAACAGGGAGGGAGAAAAGGAGAGAAACATCAGTGTATGGTTGCCTCTCACACATCCCCAAATGGGGACCTGGTCCACAACCCAGGCACATGCCCTGACTGGGAATCTAACCTGCCACCCTTGGTTCATAAGCCAACACTCAATCCACTGAACCACACCAGCCAGGGCTGCTTTTTTTCTTTTGTGAATGCAAAAGGGGCTCTCTAATAAATCTGACATATTCAGTGACAGAAAGTAATTTCATAGTGTGATCTAATAATAAATTCAGAATTGCGCAAGTCATTGTGGGTAGTCATGCCCCAGGTCTGTAACTAATTTAATTAAAAGTTTTAACTTCACCTTCAGCCACCCCTGCCTCTTGTTCTTACGCATCTAGTTTAATACACCTTTAAAATGTCAGAGTGTGCCTCTTTTTCAGAACACGTAATCTTAACTATCCTTTAATACAATCTGAGATTTCCCAATGTCATGTAATCTTCTTTAGTTTCCTTCTTAATTCGAAATGTATTTATTAAAAAAAAAAAAAAAAGCAAAACTGGCATTCTCCAGAGCGTTTGAGATCTTGATTCCTGGCATATCATCATTTGGCCTAAATAAACTCATAAAAATTCTCTATGGGTTTGGACATTCTTATATTTCATTTTTAACTCTAAATGTGGCTACTTCCCTCTAATGTGATGGTGACAGGTGTGGCCCCTGAGGTCAGATTGCTTAGATTTATATCCAGGCCTTGCTACTTTCTGGCTGTGGACCTTGAACAAGTCACTTAACCTTTCTTAGCCCTCACTTTCCTTAGCTGAAAGCAGGGGCAGTGCTAGAACTTACATCATGGTTTGCTGCGAAGATTAAATAAAATGATATGAAATGTTTAGCTCAGTACCTAGCATATAGGAAATAAGTATCTGTTATTGCTATCATTATTATTACTATTAATATGTACTTGTTCTGATATTAAACTGGTGATGAGTATTCAAAAGCCTGAAACCTTGAACTAATTTCTCTCCTTTTTCAAACCTGGAAAAGCTTAGCCCTAAAATGTCTATTGTTTTTGTTTTGTTTTTAGCTGAACTCGTAGTGGACAAAGCCATGGAGTTAAGGTTTGTGGGTGGCGTCTATGGTGGCAACATAAAGCCAACACCCTTCCTGTGTTTGACATTAAAGATGCTTCAGATTCAACCGGAGAAGGATATCATTGTTGAGTTTATAAAAAATGAAGACTTCAAGTGAGTGAAGTGTTGACTAGCTAATATAAAACCTTCAATTTCAGTAGTCCAGAATTTGGCTTTGGTTAAGAGGAATGTTAAGCTATCTCTTTTCCACAAAGTTCTACTCTAGGATTTTTGCTTTTGAACTCTTGAGTTTGTGTTTTGTCTGTCTTGATTGAATTCATCTCCTTTACTTTTTCAGTCTTGGTAACTTTTCCCCAAGAAAAATATTTCACAAAGTAACTGGATGCTCAGGGGTGAAGAAAACAACATACTGTGGGAAGATAAGGCAAACTTTGGTGCCAGATATAGGTCATGTCCAGACTCTATTACTTATTAACTGTGACCCTAGAGTAGTAACTCAATTTTCTCAGCTTTACTTTCTTAACTGTGAAATGGAGGCAGCAACATCAACTCAGTATTGATGTGAGGACTACATAAGATAGTGCTATAAATCTCACAGCACAGTTTTTGCTGCATAGTAAACATCGCAAATAGGTGAGCTGCTTTTATTTTATTATCCATTGACAAGTATGACAGACATACATAGTAATAGTTTACTATGTGCCACCCTCTGTTCTAAGAGATTTACCTCCTAGAACAGATTTAAATAATAATTTAACCTTCACAACAACCCTGTGAAAATATTGTCCCCATTATAATGGAGGAAACTTGGGCACAAAGAGGTTAAGTAATTTGCCCAAGGTCAGACAGCTAGAAAGTGGCAAAGCTTCAAATACTGTATTTGATACTGTATTATGTAAGTGGAGATTTGAATGGTTAGTCGGATATAAAAGAAAGGAAAAAGGAAGGAATCTTAAACATTAACAGCTAGAAAATATCTAACTTTTATTAGGTACTTACTATGTGCCATATGCTATCCTTAGTACCTTATATATATTTTTTAATTTTAGAGGGAGAGAAAGAAATATTGATTTGTTATTCTACTGATTATGTATTCACTGGTTGGTTCTTGTATGTGCACTGACCAGGGATCAAACCCACAATCTTGGCATGTCAGGACAATGCTTTAACCAACTAAGCTACCTGGTAAGGGCCACATATTTCTGACTTAATATACCACGCTAGCAAATTACGTGCTATCATCTGCATTTTATGAAAATTGATAAAGCAAATAATTTGCCCAGTGTTACAAAGTTAGTAAATAATGGAATCAGAATTTGAAACAAGATGACTTGGAATTTTTTCCAGAACAACATTCTGCTGCCTAGCAATAATTTATATACTCATGCCTATATGTATTATTTTATTGTTAGTAAATATATCTTACATTTTCTGTTAAATTCAGTATCTCATTTGATTCTTAAAACAATCCTGTGAGGTACCTAGGTTCTGTCTTAGTTTTGCAGTTGCTATAATCAACTCTGAAAGTTGAACAACACATCCCAAATTCCCACAGTGAGTGAGTGATAGAATGGGAACTTGAACCCAGATTTCCATATTTTAGCTCTTCCTGTTGCCTCATGCTGCCTCCAAAATTTCAGCTTTCTCATCTGCCAAAGGAAAGAAAAAAAAAACTTTTGTATCCAATATTGTCATGAGAAACACCAGTTGTAAAATTCAGGAACTTTCTAGGATGAACTTCTACAATGTTTTAAAACTCTTTACAAACTGTTGTTTCACTGTCATTTATCTGTCAGGTATGTTCGCATGTTGGGAGCACTTTACATGAGACTGACAGGCACTGCAATTGATTGCTACAAGTACTTGGAGCCTCTGTACAACGACTATAGGAAAATTAAGAGCCAGAATCGAAATGGGGGTGAGTATGGTGCCATGTGATTGAACCTTTATCATTGAGCTAATTTTTCACAGATATCTTTGCCCTCACATTGTCACATACATTGTGTGAGTGTTCCCCTTTATCTCCGTATTGGGGAGTACTCCATTAGACTGTTGGCTTCCTCTCGGCCTTAACCAGCTAGCCCTGTCTGCCCACCTTTCCAGCTGCATCTTTTATTAATCCCAGCCTTGTATCATGTGCTCCCTCTACATGTGCTGCATCCCGTAAGATCTAGCTCTAGAATGAGCTCCATAGAAGCCTTCCCAAAGTTAGTTTTGCATAGGTTACATCTTCACAGTTCTTCCTCCTGACCTCTCCTCTAGCACTATACTTCATACTGCAGTATACAGACTTAAGTGTATTTACTCATACTTATGTGGTAGTCCCACTGAAAAATAGTAAGTGTATCCACGAAGTGCAGCTCCATGCCTGTTACAAAGAGACACTATTAGTGGTAAAGTGGGATAATGCAGTCAAAACCTTTTCTCGCTTAGTGTCATAAAAGATTGGTAACTTTTTTTCTTTTCCCCTTTCTACTGTTACATGTATCATTTAGCAGTAGAAGGTTAAGAATTTGGAATTATACTTTAAACTTTTGTTAACTTATTAATTCATTCATTGAGTAAATACATGTCAGGTGCCAAGTCATGCCAAGTTCTGTGCTGTGTACTGAAAACAACATGAGGAATAAGATGGACATGGTCATGGCCACCATAGAATTACTTACTTATGATTATATTATGTTAACTAAACTAAGATAGGGTTTCTTAATCTTTGGCAGTTTGGGCCAGATAATTCTTTGTAGGGAGCTATCCTGTGCATTGTAGGATATTTAACAGCATCTCTGACCTCTACTCACTAGAAGTCAGTAGCATTCCCCACCCTAGTGATGGGTGGCAAAATCACCTCTGGTTGTGAACTGTTGAACTAATGTAATGTTTACTATAGAAATTCTGAAACTGCTCCATTTACCATAAAACATACACTTTTTTACATTTGGAAACATAGTGGTTCACATGAGAAATTACACTTTAGTTATATGATTTATTCAAGAACATTACCCCTATACGGTTCACAGCTATTTGTACTTGCTTTTGTGTTTGTCTCTTCTGCTAATTGGGACAGCTTCATTTATTCCATTATCCCCAGATCCTAAATGAGGTCTGGCACATAGATGGTCTCAGTAAAGTGAGTTGAATGAATGAAGATAGATGGTGATGACAGGTCTTCAAAGGACCGTAGTTTAAGCCCAAGTTTCACAGTAGTCCCCACTGTATAATTACCACACTCCAATAGCTTTGCTAATGAAAGGGAGGCTTCAGAGAATTCACACTTTTACTTTTTGACCTTCTAAATTTATTTCCAAGTTGCTTGAGCTTATGATTTTTTAAAGATTTTATTATTATTTTTGGGGTGGGGGGAAGGCAAAGTGGGGGAGAAAGATGAGAGAAACATCAGTGTGTGAGAGAAACATGAATCAGTTGCCTCTTCAACACCCCCAGCTGGGGACTGGGCCTACAACCCAGGCATGTGCCCTGACCAGGAATGGAACTGGTGTCCTTTCACTTTGCAGGCCAACACTCAACCAACTGAGCCACTCTAGTCAGGGCCTGAGCTTGTGGTTTTTCTTTCAGAGTTTGAACTGATGCATGTAGATGAGTTCATTGATGAACTACTGCACAGTGAGAGAGTCTGTGATATCATTTTGCCCCGGCTACAGGTAAGATATACCCTTCTACCCCCCTAAAATAGGCAGACACACACATACACTAAGCCACTGTAACTGATGGATTTCAGGAGTCGTCTTAATAAGTACTCTCTTTAAAAAATATTTATTTCTTTGTTTATTTATTGTGGGCGGGGGGGGAAGAGGGAGAGAAACATTGATCTGAGAGAGAAACACCAGTCAGTTGCTTCTCATACCTGCCTTGACTAGGGACCAAACCTGCAACCTGGGCATGTGCCCTGACAGAAAATAGAACTGGCAACCTTTTGCTTTGCGGGATTATGCCCAGCCACGCTATGCCATGCCAGTCAGGGTTATAAGTAGTTTTTATGTCTGTGAAAAACATTTCCTCTCATATATGGGGGAGGGGAAAGCAGATCATTTGAAGGGTAGGGCTTTAAAAGTGAACAATTAACACAAGAAAACTTTTTTCTACCAAGGAGACTATAGCTATGGTAGATTTTTTTAAAACTTTTTTTTGATAGTTTAATTATCAAAAAAAGTTTGATAGTTTGATAGTATTTTATTAGCAAACTTACAGGAACAGTACAGAAGGCAGACAATGTTAAAAACATACTTGCACGTATGACAACTCAGAAAGGTAGAATGAATGGATAGAATCTACTCTGATAAAAATACTACAAACACCATTTAGTAGCCATCAATAGGAAATTTATTTGTTTTTAAAAAATCTAAATGATGGCATTATCCAGAAAAAGTTAACAGGTTTATTTATATTGTTACAACGTTGAACTGCTGAAACTTGTTCACTGAAACATCTTGACTTGCATTAATGCTTTATGTCTCTACATTTATATTTAAAAAATCCACACACATGAAAATGGAAAAGCTGCCAATGCCTGATTTCTGTCCCCTATTTTTTTTAACTTGCAGTCATATACTTAGGTGCCTCTTGATCTCATGGAAAAAAGAGATCTAACATTCAGAACTACCAATAACAGGAAGAAGAGAGTTTTTTTTTTAAAGAATGAAATGTTTTTCATCATAGTGGATCCTTAAGCACGTTTTCCACATATGTGACGTGCTGGCTGGATGTCTTTTGACATAACTGTTACATGTTTGCCATGGACAGCACACAGGTTGGGTCTTCAAAAAGGCCAACCACATAGGCTTCACTTTCCTCCTGCAAAGCACCAATAGCTGCACTCTGGAAATACAGATCTGTTTTGAAGTCCTGAGCTATTTCTTGCACCAGACACTGGAAGGGATTTGCAAATCAGCAGTTCAGTGGACTTCTAATAACGTCTAATTTCAGGAATGCCATAGTACCCGACCTATAATGATGAGGTTTCTTCAGCCCTCCAGTAGAGGGCACACTCTTTTCAGCAGCCTTGGTAGCCACTTGCTTCCTTGGTGCTTTACCACCAATTTGCAAGCAGTCTGCTTTATAAAAGCCATGGTATAGAGACCTCTTTACTTAATGCCCTTCTCCTTTGGCTGGAGCTTGGTAAGCTCGATTTTTTAAAACTTTTTAAGCAACATTCGCTCAAACTGAGCTTCATATAAAAATTCAGGATATAAAACAGGTGAAAGGAGGGTCAAGAGTGGGACACTAAAATCTTAACCCCTAAAATAGCATTGTAATCATCCTGCTTCCCTTTCCCAGAGATAAAGGATTGTCCATGAAGCACCTTTCAGGAATGGTTTTGACAGAGTATGATTTTAAAACTGTTGAAAATACAAAGGGAAAACAGATACAGTAGGTAGCTTGAAGAGAAAGGGAATATGGGGATTTCTAAAGAGAAAATGGAGAGATGACTGAACGGGGAATTAGGAGACCTGAATTTCTGGGTTATTAGTACAGCTGGGTTATTATTACAGCTTTGAGACCTGGTCTTATTTTTCCCATTTATAATGTGGAAAAGTCAGACTACCTCAGTGGTCTCTAAATTGCCCTATGGGGTTTTTTTAAGGCTACTGAAAGAAATAAGAGGAGACAAGCCTACATATCCCAACCAGGGTAGCTTCTTTTTCTCTAAGTTACCTGTGGGGCTTGAGATTGAGATTTTGTTTGAGCAAAATTGAGATTTTCCTTTAAATAGCTTTATTAAGGTACAATTGACATGGAATAAAGTACATATGTTTAAAGTATTACAGTCTGGTAAGTTTTTACCTATGTGTGTATACCCTTTAAACTGTCACCACAGTCAAGATTAGTGAACATATCCATTACCCCAAAGTTTCCTTCTGTGTAATCCCTCCCCTCACCTCTTAGCAACCACTGATACGTATGCTACCTGTCACAATAGTTTGCATTTTGGAATTAATACAGTACATTCTCATTTTTATCAGTTTTCTCATTCAGCATAATTATTTTGCAATTCATCTATATTGTTGGCATGTGTCAATAGTTGTTTTTTGTTTTTGTTTTTTTAAATTGTTGAATGAGTGCCATATCTCTCCTGTTCCATACTGGTTAGTCTAGGCTAAATAGTGAAGAGAATGAGATGTGAAATTAGAAAACCTGACTTCCAGCCAAGATAGAGACATAGGTAGATACACTTTGCCTCCTCACACAACCAAAAGAAGGACAACAAAAAATTTAAAAACTAAAAACAACCAGAACTGCCAGAAAATTGAACTGTAGGAAGGATAACGACCAGTGAGTTAAAGAAGAAACATTCATCTAGACTGGTAGGAGGGGTGGAGATGGGCAGTCAGGGTGGAGAGGATGGCAAGGTGGCGGCTGGCAGTCCCACATTTGCGTGCAGATAAACCAGGAGGAACAACTGGAGAGTGAGGCAGACTGCACAACACAGGCTTCCAGCATGGAAAAGAAAGCCTCAAAACCTCTGGCTGTAAAAACCTGTGTGGATCGCGGCAGTGGGAGACTCTCCCAGTCTCACAGGAGAGTTCATTGGAGAGACCCACAGGGTCCTAGAATGTGCACAAACCCACCCACCTGGGAATCAGCACCAGAAGGGCCCAATTTGGTTGTGAGCAGCAGGGGAAGTAACTGAAAGCTGGTGGAGAGCCGAGCAAGTGGCCTTGTTCCCTCTCAGACCCCTTCCCCACAGACAGTGCCACAAAGCAGCAATGTGGGTTGCCCTATCCCGGGAAATACCTAAGGCTCCACCCCTTACAACCTAACAGGTACACTGAGACAAAGAAATATGGACCAAATGAAAAAACATATAAAAGCTCCAAAAATAAAACTAAGCAATGAAGAGTTACCTAACCTGTCAGATGCACAGTTCAAAATACTGGTAATCAGGATGCTCACAGAAATGGTTGAGTATGATCACAAAATAGAGGAAAAAGTGAAGGCTATGCAAAGTGAAATAAGGAAATATATACAGGGAACCAACAGTGAAGGGAAGGAACCCAGGACTCAAATCAACAATTTGGAGCAGAAGGAAGAAATAAACATTTAATCAGAACAAAATGAAGAACCAAGAATTCAGAATAATGAGAGGTTTAGGAACCTGCAGGATGCTTTAAGCATCCCAACTGATCCGAATTGGGTGCCAGAAGGAGAAGAGGATGAACAAGGAGTTGAAAACTACTTTGAAAACATAATGAAGGAGAACTTCCCCAATCTGGCAAAGGAAACAGACTTCTAGGAAGCCTAGAGTGTCCTAGAGAAGTTAAATCCAAGGAAGCATACACAAGACACATCATAATTACATTATCCAAGATTAAAGATAAGGACAATCTTAAAAGCAGCAAGAGAGGAGATGGTTACCTACAAAGGAGTTCTCATAAGACTATCAGCTGATTTCTCAAAAGAAACCTTGCAGGCAAGAAGGGGCTGGAAAAAAGTATTCCAAGTCATGAAAGGCAAGGATCTACATCCAAGATGACTCTATCCAGCAAAGCTATCATTTAGAATGGAAGGGCAGATAAAGTGCTTTCCAGATAAGGTCCAGTTAAAGGAGCTCATCATCACCAAGCCCTTATTATATGAAATGTTAAAGGGACTTATCTAAGAAAAAGATCAGAATTATGTACAGTAAAATGATGACAAACTCACAACTGAACGTTAAAAAAAAAAACTAGAACAGGAATAGAATGACAGAAATGGAGATCACATGCAGGGTTATCGGGGGAAGAATGGAGGAAAAGGTACATGGAATAAGAAACATAATTGATAGGTACAATGTAGATAGGGGGAGGTTAAGAATAGTATAAAAAATGGAGAAGCCAAAAAACTTACATGTAGAACCCATGAGTATGAACTAAGGGGGTGGGGAATCATGGTGGGGGGGGTGGGGTACATGGCAGGAATAAAGGGGAGAAAAAAATGAGATAACTGATAGCATAATAAAATATAATTAAAAAAAGAAAACTTGCTTTTGGGACCCAATTCTCACATTACTGTGGGCTACACTAGTTATTATTACTATTGTCTGCTCTTGGATTTGAAAATACTCCAAGAAATGTAATACTTGTAATTGCAATCAGGTTATAGCAGCTAAGGGTTCTAAAGCCCAGTCAGCTATAAGCAGCAGTCCTACTGATAAAATGAGATTATGTGCATGGAGTCTAGAAGACTACACAACAGACTCAGGAGAAATTGAAATGACTGATGTATATCACCAGCAGATGTATCATAGTATGGGCCTCTTGCATGTCCTGGATGAAGTGTCCCTTAAGATATCTGTGTCTCTGATTCTGTTATTAAGCAACCCATAGGTTGTCAGTTTAGTTTCTGATGTACCCTGGCATTGGCAAGGAGCTGCCATGGAATGAATTCTAATTTCATCAAACATAAATGTTATGAATTAATATTTAAACTAGTCACTTCCAACTCTGAGCATTAGGGATTCTGGGTACCCTCTATGATGCAGTCCCAGATCCCCAGCTGTGGTGATTCTGTGACTAGAAAGCACTGTTCTGAAGGATTGGATTGGTTTCTCTGAGTGGCATCCTTGTCAGTTTTCCCAATTTTTATAGAATTTTATTAGGAATGAGTGAGAGCTAAGTAGAATACAAATCTTACTATTTGTTCTAGGGCTCTCCAACATTCTTTACATGCTTTGCACAAGGAAATGATAAGGGATCTTATTTTACCCAACTAGTCTGTTTGGCAGTTTTGAACTTATTGTTGCTTTTCAGGTTCTCAGTTATTCAATAAGTACTGCTAAGCCACATCAGAAGAAAATGGAACCAGATGAACTGTTTATGTGCTGTGTTAAAAATGCACAATTCGGGTTGGGTGGGGCAGGGGAAAGTGGTGGTGGGAAAGTGGAGACAAGTGTACCTGAACAATAAAAAATAAATAAAAATCCATGACTCTAGACAGCTAGCTCTCTGAGTCTTGGGTATAATAGAGAATTGGTGCTACTTTAAAGCAGGGCCCAAGGTACTCTTCAGCCCTCACACTAGGCTAAGCCTTGGTGGATCTCTTGGGGTAGATTCTGATTTGAGCCCCTCCTGCAGAACTATCAGCCAGTATGGTCTAAGCCATGAACTTACAGCCCTTGTATATGAAGTTCATGGGATTTTTTTTTTTTATTCAAGGCTATACCTATCCTGATAGGTATCGCTATTCCAGTGACCTTAGAGTATGACCACAGGTAATAGAGCCAGCAGAAAACGGAGATGTTCCCTCCAGCTTTGTATCTGTTTATAGGGCAACTTAAAAGACCATGTAAATTTCAGGTATGTTAAACTCAGGACAATCATAAACTATCCAGGATGTTTTGAAATTATTGGGTTGGCCAAAAAGTTTTTTTGTTTTTTATGTAACATGGCTCTGGTAGAGCATAGTTGTCTTTAACTTCATTTGAAACAATTTTGTTAAGTTGTGTTGTGACAGCTGTCATATCAGCGTGCATTTTTTAAAAAACTCACCAAAATTGGTGAATTTTTGTGGAGTTTTTTAATATTGAAGATGGGAGAAAATCCACGTTTGGCATATTATGCTTTATTATTCCAAGAAAGGTTAAAAAAAAAACTGAAAGGCAAAAATAGAATTGTTCAGTGTGTGGAGAAGGTCCTGTAATTGATCAAACTTGTCAAAAGTGGTTTGCAAAGTTTCGTGCTGGAGATTTCTCTTTGGATGATGATCCACAGTCAGGTAGACCAGTTGAAGTTGATAAAAAAATTAAATCAAGACACAGAACAATCAGTGTTGTACCACATAGGAAATAGCTGGCATACTCAAAATATCCAAATCAGTCAAGTTATTGGTAAAATGAAAAGTGTAACTTTTATTTTACAGAAAAATCTATTAATACTTTAGCTGTGGCACCGTAGTTTTTCTGTCAATCTCAGAAGCCCAGTGTTGGGTCTTCAGGACACAGAAGAGATAACAAGGCCCCCTAACACTCTTGTGTTCTGTTTAGAAACGCTACGTGCTAGAGGAAGCTGAGCAATTGGAGCCTCGGGTTAGCGCTCTAGAAGAGGACATGGATGATGTAGAGTCCAGTGAAGAGGAGGAAGAGGAAGATGAGAAGGTGAGGTACCTGGGAGCTTAAGGGTGGAGGAGGGATATTTAGAGGAAATGCGAATGGTGCCGTTTTGTTTTGTTTTTTTATTTTTAACTTTAACAAAAAAAAATACAGTATTTAGTAACAGTATAGGCTTTAGAGTTAATTAGTCCTTGGTTCATATCCTAGCTCTGCTATATATAGTGGTATAATCTTGTGCAAATTATATCATCTCAGTCTTCTCTGTAAAGGATACTGATACCTTTCTCTTAGGACTGTTAATGAGTATTAAATGAGATAATATAAAGCCCTTAGCGTAGTATTGGGGCATTGTAATTGCCTAACAATTATGATAATACTCATTAAATACTATTTAATAAAACATTATTAAATAAAGCTATTAAAATAAATACTTGGGACAAAAATACTGTTTATAATTGAACTATCCTAAGAACTAAGCCTGGTTTAGAAAAAAGAAGTGCCTACTGCATGGTCACATTCTTTCATATTAATTACAATGCTGAAAAGTTGGAAACAATCAAAGTGTAAGGGAGCAGTGAAATAAACTAACATATCAACTCACCAGAGTATTAGGCAGCCATCTAAACTGTTAGGAAAAGTATACACTGATGTAGAAATGCTTATGATAAGTTAAAAAAGAAGGCTCTAAAACATTTGTGATTAAAATTAAAGCAACAATATATGGTCACAAAAAGGCTAGGGGGTAATGTAGGAAATGCTGCCTTATCGATACTGAAACATTATAAATGGAAGTGTCACTCTGAGCCATCAGTCTCCTTTCAAGTTTAGTGCAAAACGAAGCACAATCATTCGTGAATTCAAAGCCATACAAAGCTGAGGTGTTTTTCTGTGGTGAGTGAACGGAAAATTTTAATCACATACCAAAGTGGAGAGACTGCCTCAATTTAGGTAAATTGAAGCTAGGCAGACAGGTTCTGCCTAGCTTCAACAGTGATCAACTCATAGTGATCAACTCATAGCCAGTTTATTAGGTTTTTTAAAAGATTTTATTTACTTTTAGAGACAGAGGGAGGGAGGGAGGGAAGGAAGGAAGGAAGGAGGGAAACATCAGTGTGAGAGAGAGACATCGATGGGTTGCCTCTCACATGCTCCCAACCCAGGCATGTGCCTTGGACTGGGAATTGAACCGGCGACCCTTTGGTTCACAGGCCAGCAGTCAGTCCACTGAGCCACACCAGCCAGGGCTATTAATCAGTTTTTAAAATAAGTTGATTCTTGAATGTGCTCCCAAGATGACGAATGCCTTTTTGTCCCTGGTAACTTTGTGAATTCATGGATTTAAGCAAATTTGATTTATTTTGAATCATAGGATAATTTGAACATCGAGAGGAATAACAGTCTTTGGCCGGGGGGTCCCTCAACTTGGCTAATGAAATGTTGATACAATCATAGGCTCAGCCTTCTTGCTTTCTGTTATGACATTATGTCCTTTTTTAGAAAATTTTATTGTACTTTATTAGCATTTATTCCCCTTATACCCACCTCCTTGCCATGATCACCAGTTTTGTCCATGTCCATGAGTCCTTTTTTCCTTTTTGCTCAATACTTGGACCCCGTAACACCCACCTCCAAGAGCTGTCAAGCCTGCTACAAATGTCTCTATGTTGCTTGTTCAGTTTGTTCATTAGACTCCACATATTAATGAAATTATAATGGCAATATGTTCTAGTCATGTCTTAATAGCTACTGCCTCCAACTTGGAATTATCCCTTTTCCAAGGAGCCCTTGGTTCCATTTACTAACAATATAGGATATTTAGATACCACAACTTAGGCACTTTAAGTGCTTGTTGCTATTTGATTATGTCAGTGTTACTAGGCCTTTATTAGTTGGCTGAGCTTGGGGGAAATTTTGTGTGTGATTGAAGTACACTAGGAGTTTTACTTAATCTTAATGACCTTGTATTTTTTTTTTGCATTGGAAAGCCAACTTCCTAAGGAATTGAATGTAATTACTTACCTCTCACTGCTCTGAAAAAGTTCCAGAATAGTTGTACCAACACTAGAACAGTAATGGGATTATTGGAAAGTTTTGTGGGGGGTGGGGTTTATTTGTGGGGGTTTTTTTGGAATTTTTTTCTCCTCAGTGGTATATCTCTATTCAAATTACTATTTTTGAAATCACTTGAAGGTAGGATTTCAGACAGGATGGCCAGGGTAGTATAGCAGTGTTTCTAAGATGGTTTTATGTAAGCCTGTGCTCATCACTAATCCATCCGTCTCATTTCCAGTTGGAGAGAGTACCATCACCTGATCACCGCCGGAGAAGCTACCGAGACTTGGATAAGCCCCGTCGCTCCCCCACACTGCGCTACAGGAGAAGTAGGAGCCGGTCTCCCAGAAGGTAAGGCCCTAGTCATTTGCCTCTTCCAGAGAGACTTTAAGCACTGTAGTGCTCTGGATTTCAGGGAAGGGAGCATGCCAAGTCTGTGGAGAATATTTGCTTGCCCAATATTAGCTACTGGAAAATACCCACAAAACTTCAGTGTCACACAACCACCATTTATTTAAGTTCACAAGTCTGTAGTCAATGATATAAACTGGTCTTGGATAGGCAGTTTTTTAGTATGTTATGTTCACACACCTGTTTTGCACTCTGTTGGCAAGTATAGGATAGGCTTAGCTAGAATAACTGGGGCAGTTCATCTCTTCTCTATGTATTTCTCATGATGGGCTAGGTTAGGTATGTTCTCATGGCAGTGGTAGGATTCAAGAGCAAACAAGACCAGTCATGCAAGTTTCTTTCCACTATATGGTGGTATCACATTTGTAAATACTCCATTGGCCACAGTGAGTCACTTGGAGTGGGAGGGTGCCCAAAAGTTACATGACTAAGCAGCTGGATAACAGATGGGTTAAGAATTGGGGCAGTTTTTGCAATCTACAACATCCAAGGCACCTACCTACTAAGGCTCTTTTTCCTGTTTTCTTTCCATAGGCGGAGTCGGTCTCCCAAAAGGAGGAGGTAGGCCTTTAGGGATTTGTAATGAAGGCTAGGGATTTAGGGAGGGAGGCTGCTGTGATTATATTGTCACATGTAGGAGTCTGACCAGTCATTTCCACAGCCCCTCCCCACGCCGAGAAAGGCATCGGAGCAAGAGTCCACGACGTCACCGGAGCAGGTCCCGAGACAGACGGCACAGATCCCGCTCCAAGTCCCCAGGTATAGTATTTGGGCCTTTTGCCGTTCGTTGTCTTAACAAAGAAATGTAATAGCAATTAACCTCCTGCAATAGTGGAGTGCCTATGTTACTTCTTAGAAGAAAAAGAAATGGACTTAGAATTTGAAAATCAGAGTTCATATCTTGATTCTCACGTACAAGCTTTGCTCGTATGATGAGCCAGTTTCTTCATCTGAAATTTTAGGAATAAGACCTAACAGGGTAGTGGTAAATAACCAATGTCATGTTTGTGTAATTAGCCATAAAGCCCCGAATGCATATGAGTTGGGTTTAGTTCTCTTCCTACCACACGAGCACCAGTTCAGAGAGGTGCTACCAATTAGAGGTAGTCCCTAGCATAAGGCCAAAAAAGTGTTAAGCCAATGGAAGGGATTACAGGAGGTAAAAATGACAGTGGAGAAGTAGAAGAGTAGACGCTCATTCAGCCATTGGCCTTTTCTTCCCCAGGTCATCACCGCAGTCACAGACATAGGAGCCACTCAAAATCTCCTGAAAGGTATGGACTGACCTCTATTTTGACTTAAGACTTCTGCTCTTTATTCATAAATTAATGCCCCAATCACAACTAAATTTCACCTGAAATGTTCTTGTTCTGATGGAGTTAGGAATTCTCCTTCATTAGGATAAAATTGCCTTGTTTTCTAGAGAAATCCTAGAATTATATAAGTTTGTATTGTTTTGTTTTTCCTTGTAGGATTGTAACTTTGGATAATGGTAAGAGTATATGAGCTTTGGTCTCAGGAGACCTGGGCTTACACCCCAACTTTTATCACTTAAGAGAGTAACATTGGCCAAGTTATTCTCGCATTTGATAAGCTTTCATTAGAAATGTTTATATGCTATACACTGTTACGTACACTCAACCTCTCAGAGGTCATTTCCTCAATGGTATGTTTTGGATAGTTATGTTAGCTAGCACATTGTGTTGCTGTGAGACATAAAAACACTGGGCACATTGGATAACATCTCTGTCCCCATCAGTGTTGCCATACCCTAGTTTTCCCCAAAAGTCCTTGCCTAGCTCCTTGAACAGATGTGAAATTTAATAATGTGTCATGTGTTGCCATTTCAGATCTAAGAAAAGCCACAAGAAGAGCCGGAGAGGGAATGAGTAATGGACTCAGTTTGGGTTTAGTCCAAATGGCCTACTGCAGACATGAAAGCATCTCTGCATGTAGAATGATTATGATCTACTCCCGAGGCAGCTATGAGAATATTTTAATTTTTTTTTTTTTACCTAAAAGTGTCTCCACCTTTTTTTTTTTTAATGAAAGAGGTGCTGAGTTTTGTATCTCTTTTTTAATACTATTCCATGTTTGAGGGATTATGCTCCCCAAGGGCTGCTTTTGACCCCTTTGTACAACCAACATTGAGGATTTGAGGATGTGACCACCTAGTGATCCTTTTGTTATTAAATTTAAAACACCCATTTTCCATCATTCTGTAGTTTAGTTTTTTGTTTGCTTCATAATTGGAACTGTTCTGAGACTCCTAAGATTTGTGCAGCTGTTGCATTGAAAGGTCAAGTTAGTAAAACATATTAGTGCCAAATTTTTTTCTCCAGCAGTAGCAAGTGACAGTAAACATGAAAACCGACCCATTACCAGCAACTTTGTACGGAAAGAATGCAAATGTAAGTCTTCTTATGGACTGTTTAACCCAGAGGCATTGAACAGTTCAACAAAGTAATTTAACACCTTTTAAGAGTATTCTTTCCGTGTTTCTTCCACATAAGCCTTGAATTCTAGGTTAAGATGCTTAGCCTTTATTCTACAAGAACTGACATTATTCTAGTCTAGCCAGTAGCAGTAGGTCAACAAAATTGAAAAGGTTTGTTGGAGAGAAGAGTAATACCACTCAGGGTTCTGACCTGAATTGTTGGAAAATAGTGCTATTCACAAAGCCAGAAAATACAGTTGGAGTATACCAGGTTTTATAGGGGCAATTAGTGAGAGTTGTAGTAGGGAAAGTACGTATTCAGTTCAACTTAAAAGTTTAATTTGAGACAGCTGTGGTATATCTAAACAAACCTCGACAGTTGGAAATAGGGAATGGAGTTGAGCATAGTGATCTAGCCATTAATTGACAATGTTGAGGTAATTGTGGATGTGTAGAATTGAACAGATTGCCCAGGGATTGTGTGTTTATGTAGGAAAAGCCAGTAACAATCATAGGCAGGAGCAGCACTGGTGAGAAGAAGAAATGCAATCATGATGGAATAGTGAAATGAACCATTCAGAAAGAATTAGAAGAGGTATAAGGACACAGAAGCAAAGTAAGAACTGAAGAATGTTCATGAGCACTGGTAATCAAAAGGGTGTCAGTATCTTTGCTAGAAAAAGTTGCGTTTACCTGTATGTTACCTTTCCTCCTTTAAAAATGGAAAAGTGATTCAATGGTTTCCTACAGCTCTGGTCCCAGCAAAAATTGTGAATACCAACTGCCTCATACAGGATGGATCCACTTTCCCAGGGAGCTGTATCTGGCCACAGGATTCACATTCTATTGCTTGCCTGAACCGAGGGATTTTTGCAGCAATATTAAAGTATTTAGGCATCATGCTGTGATTTCAGATTTTCCAGTGATTCTAACTCCTGATGATACTTCAGCTAATAAAAGTTGTCCACCAGAGCTACTATGGTTTATGGTACAACTATATGTGACTGTCTTTAAAAATTAAATATAAGCACCTCTATTTGCATCTGTTCGAGTCCCAGCAGCTATTTCTTACCAGTGATTTAAGTAGAAAGAAATGTCTTGGCTACATAACCTATGGAGCAACCAAGTCATCCAGTATATTGTTAAAATATTTAAAGTTCACTTTAAAATGAAAATTTTTCATGTGTCTTAAAAGAAAGCCAACAATTTTTAATACCAAAATAAACTTCCCCAAACATAAAATGAAAGCATACTTATTAGGCATTGGGGCAGCACAGCCAACCTGTAGCAGGAAGCAGATTGTCCTTATCCTCTTGTTAGTACAAAGACAACAGTAGGTGGGATGTGATGAACATCTGGAGATTGTTTTGATAAATTACAGGTTTGTAGAAGAGATGGAGTTTGCTGAAGGGCCATTCTGTCATCTATCTACTAGGTTAGCCTAGTAAATGAGGCCTTGAAACTAGCTTTATGGCTTCAACCTTCGGCCTATAAAACATTTTCATATCTTATAAGGAAAAAATTTTTATACCTTAAGACAAAATGCATTCTGGTGTTTTCTATATAGTATCACTTTTTAATGTTGGGTACAGACTGCTAAATTGAATTTACTTCCCACAATTTGAACTACACTGCCTTAAAAGCTTAGCCATTGGGCAAAATGACTTGTAAATACTAAAACACGAAGGGACAAAATTGTTCTGAGAGGCTTATGACATAACAATCCAAGTTAAGCCTCATTCTTCCTAGCCCCTTTATATTATTATTTTCAGCAGACCTAAATTTAAATAAGCATTAATCAGAAAACAAAGATCAGAAGTGCTGGTCATCCCTCAAAAGGTTAAAGTAACAAGTTCACAGACTCAAAAACCATATAACAAAATAATCTGTTTCAAGAGCAAATATAAAAATTCAGACATTAAAAAGATAAGAGATGGGAAGTTAGCTTGGCAGAGTATAAAATGAAGATGTGAAAAACTGGAAAAATGAAACCTTGGAAAACAAAATGTAAGCAAGGCATTGAGAAAATAGGCTGGAGAAAATTAAAAATGGAGAATAAGAGCAGAGATAAAAAAAATCCTGCATTGTATAATTGACATTCCTGATGAGAACTGTTAGCAAATCAAACTTTTAAAAATTCAAATAGAAAAAATTCCTGAAACAATAAAAACCTATCAAGAAATATCCTGGTGCGTTTAAGAGAAAATATCAAATCATTCATAGGGAAAAATCAAGGTCTCAGATCTTACAGCATACTTCATGGGGCAGTGACTGTGCCAGGAATTTTATACCCAACCCAAGTTGTCTTTAAAATATAAAGGGAGCAGACATTCTCAAGGATGCAAAAACTTAAAAGTTACTTTAGAAAGAACTGTGTGACCTATGAAATTAGCCGAGCAAGAAATGAATCAAATTAAGGACCTAGGAAAAAAGTAGTAGTAAAAGGAGTGGTAGTGAATATTGCAGAAACTTCCAATAAATACGAGAAATGGTTTAGTATTTGAACATTGTCTATATAGGAATAATACAGCCAGGAAGGAGAGAAACTCTAAGTGTGCTAGTTTCATTTCTCATAATAGGAGTCATATATACTGTCTAATTAAAATAATTGTCCTCAATTTTCAGAGGAAACTTAGAACTAGGATCTCATAGAAAATTTTAAAGTTGAACATTTTGTCACCTTCATATTTTTCTTGTTAAATCCAAGTAAAATTAATTTGCTATATTTACTCAATACAACACATGAGCCTGCTTTTTAATACTGTATACATATGTCTATGTTTAAGAGAGATGGCTAGAATGAATAAAATTCTCCAGATAATAGTATTTATTTCTGGCTGATGGACTATTAAATGTTTTAGCTCATCTTATTTTTTATTTTTAAGTAAACATTTAAATTTTCTTTTAAAGGAAAATGAATTTGGAGTTCAAAGCTTTTTCATAAGCTTACTTACACATTTTATATATTATTTGTTGGAAATGTAAATTGGTAACCACTTTTCTGGATGGTGATTTGGCACTATGTCACAGGAATCTTGGGATTTTTATCCTTTTTACCTAATAATCCCATGTGTAAGAAGTCACCATAATATAAAAGCAAACACAGAAACAGCTCTACCCCAGAAATAAAAGTAGACCACTTACACCATACACAAAAATAAAAAGTGAATTAAAGACAAACCGAAATATAAGACCCAAGACCATAATCCTCCTAGAGGAAAAAACAGGCAACAAACATGGATGTGGTCCCAGCCATGTTTTTTTAAATATGTCTCATAAGGCAAAGACAAAAGCAAAAAGGAACAGATGGTACTACATCAAAACTTCTGCACTGCAAAAGAAACCACCTACAACAAAAAGGCAATCTACTAAATAGGGAAAATTATTTGCAAATGATATATCCAATTAAGGGATTAATATCTAAAACCTATCAAGAACTCATACAGGTTAGCATCAAAGAAACAAGTTAAAAATGGAAGACATGAATAAGTGTTCCTCCAAAGAGGACATACAAGTGGTCAACAGACACATGAAAAGATGCTCAACCTCACTGATCAGGGAAAAGCAAATCAAAACCACAATGAGATCATCTGTCAGAACAGGTATTATCAATAAATCAACAAGTGTTGGCAAGGATGTGGGAAAAAGGGAACCTCTGCACTCTTGGTGGGATTATAAATTGGTACACCCATTATGAAACATTACAAACTTCCTTCAGAAATTAAAAATAGCTGATGTGACCCAGGAATTTCACTTCACTATTGGATATGTATCTGAAGAAATCCAAAGGATTTATTTTAAAAAGGTATGTGCATCCCTATGTTCACTGCAGCATTATTTACAAGAGGCAGGTAAGGAAGCAACATAAGTACCCATTGACAGATGAATGGATGAAGATGTAGTGCATATATACAATGGTACAATGGAACTTTTTACTTAGCCATAATAAAGAATGAAATCTCGCCATTTGGGACAACATAAATGGACTTCAAAGATATGCAAAGTGAAATCAGAAGAGAAAGACAAATACTGTATAATTTCACTAATACATTAAATCTAAAAACAAAAAACCATAAACTCAACAAAAACAAACTCAGATACAGAGAGCAAACTGACAAAGTTTCCAGATGAGAGAGGGCACTGGAGTGGGATGAGTGAAAAAAGTGAAAGGGATTAAGTAGTACAAATTGCCAACTATAAAAATAGTCATGGAGATATACAGTGTAGGGAACACAGTCCATTATATTGTAATAACTTGTCAAATGGGTACTAGACTTACCTTGGTGATCATAAGATATAAATGTCTAATCAGTGTTTTACACCTTAACTAATATAATGTTTGTACATTGTAACTGGAAAAAAATCCTAATAAATAGCTTTAACCCATCAACATTTTACATATACTTTTATATACTTAAAAAAAATAGTAAAAATGTTCATCTCAGGGTATTGAACAAATAAATTACACAAATAGTACACAATTAATACTCATGGGAAAATACTGTCTTTATGTCATTAAACATTATACAGAACACTGCATATAACTGAATAATTTTTTGCCCTTTTCAACTGCTCTGCAATGAATTTTAATAAAAAACTGTGTAAACTTGAAATTTCTATGAAATGTTTGCAAATTTGCCCTGACTGGTGTGGCTCAGTGGGTTGAGTGTCATCCGGCAAACCAAAAGTCCACTGGTTCGATTCCCGGTCTGGACACGTGTCTAGGTTTTGGGCGTGTACCAACACATAAATTACAAACTTAAGAGCTTTCTATTTTTCAACTAGGAACAGTTTTTTTTTTTTTGCCAATTATTCAACATTGACAATCCTGAAGGAGAGACAAGTGAGATGCTGAAAATTACAGTATACAACACCGTCTTGTATAAGCAAAACCTACGTTCACTGAAGTTTATTGCCTGTTAAATATCTTGTCAAGTCATATGGTGCTTTCCTTTAGGAAGGAAGGCTGAGTTAGGGGTGGTCTCTAGTCACAGACTCTTTTCTTTTTAATGAAAACTTCAAATATATTCAAAAGTAAAATGAGCTGAACACCCTATACGCCTCATAACTCTAAAACCTGAAATGGAGATGAAATACCTGAAGACGAACTTTTAAAGAAAATCTTCAATGTTCCAGGTCACATTTTAACACAAAAGCATACACTGGACCAGGTTTCTCATTAACAAATAAGTTAACTCCACCACTTAGGATTCTTAGGGATGCTGCAGCTTTAATATGAAAAAAGTAGCAGTAAATACACCTGATCTTAATTTAACATTTAATAAATACCTTTTCAGGGCTGTAAATATAGCAGGAAACCCCTCAACCTCCTGTATTAGATTTCAAGCATCTTCCATGTTGGAAAATATGGCAAAAGCCCAGGAAGTCTCCTATTTTAAGTAATGCATATCTGAGGAAGCAGAACAAAGATAGTACACTCACTGTCCATAAAATACATTTTACTTATTCTGCACATTTCCAAAGAAATCTTTAGCATCATTTTGCCTAAAATCCCTGGCAAATCTCCTTTAGGGATTTTTAAAAAGTTATTTTACCTTAATGTACTAGTACCAAACAAACAGCTAAAAAAAAATCTACCACCAATCACCCAAAAATTTGATTTCCAACTATAATTACAAATATTACTGGTAAACTTCATCATGGCAGGTGTACCTTCCAGGTAGCAGTTTAAGACTCTGAATGGTCTGACCAGTGTTTCTCAGCAATTAAGAATTACCTTCTTTTAACTTTAATTGCCAGTATCAGTTTCAGTGTTTAAAACTCTCCTTTAAAAGATGTTTCAATTTTATTTCCGACATGTTTAACTGTGCTACCTTTGAAAATCACTTTATTGTTATGCACCTTAGTCTTCTCAAATGATAAAATGGAGACAGCATTTGCTTCTATCAACAGCACATGGGCCCTGGCTAGGTACCTCGGTTGGTTAGTGTCATCCCAATACACCAAGACTGCAGATTTAATCCCCAGTCAGGGCACATGCAAGAATCAACCAATGAATGCATAAATAAGTGGGACAAGAAATCGATCTCTCTAAAAATTGCATATGGGTGTTGAGTCCAATAAAGTAAGGGACACCAAAAAAACCCCTTGAATTTCTAAAATTATGTCTGTGAGAATATACGCACTGAGAGTAAAATAAGTCTGAACTCTTACATTATATTTCCACCATCTAAACCAGATAAATTAACCAAATCTGACTCTTGTCAAAAAGATTTATTAACTTAAAATAGAATTACTTCAAATATCTTCTGTTCAAGTTTGAATATTTTCAATATGCAAGAATGGAAAAGAAAAAAATTCTGAATATTCAGGTTGTAGTTTTATTTTATTTTTTTTTACCTTTTAAAAAGTTTTTGGCACTACAAGGTTCTGTAAAGAATAGAAGTGACAAATTTAAAACACATGAAAGTCTTTCCTAATTCTTAAGAACAATATATAAAGTCTGAAGCAACCAAAGTATGAATACAGCTAATAGAAAATAAAGAATGTAATTTTTAAAATTCTCTCTTTATACAATTCATCAAGGTTAAACAAAACATAAAATTCCCTTAAAAATAGGGTAATAAAATAGATGAAATTTGTATCACTCAATTTGGTGATACTAGTAAAAACTATAGTTCATATTTATATACAAATAATACAGTTCTTAAAAACAGTCTTAGAATTTAAATAAGCTATCTAAACGTGTTAAAAGTTTAAATCAGGACCTGATTTGTTTTGCTTTCCATTAAATGTCACTTTTTCTGCTGAATGGAACTGACATTGAGGTACGGATACCCTTGAGACAGCAGGATTGGCTGGTTGCTGTGCATCGGTAGACCAGCTGAAAGAAAATGGACTTGCATTACTCCGACACGTTTCCTCTTGGTGGGTGGGGACAACGCTCTCTACACCGACGGGCAGCACATCTGTCTGTTGGACACAACACAGACGGGAAACTGAAAGGCTTATGCCTGTTTGTCTGATAATCCCTTAGAATTAACTTGTAGCTATTCTCTTTTCTATTTATATAGTAAATATGGGATGACACATGTCAAAACACTTGGCTGGGGGGAGAAGGAGGGAAGGGAAATGCAGGTATTCGTGAAAGCAAAGAGAAAAAAGAGAGATGGAGGGGAGGAATCAAGAACAAACCCACCAGGGAAGAACTTCAGACTTTCCCCACTAAAACAGCTTGTATGACCAACAGTAACTTCCCTCAGCCCTAGTTCTTTGCTAGAAGACGAAAGCAGTCATAGTCAAGGTTCTGCTCATCTATAATAGAGGGGATGCCTCATCAGTGCATGAACAGTTGAGGAAGACTGAATGTATAAAGCCTGACAGTCATACTACACTAGTGGCTTCCCCTTAAAATGATCACTTCATTCACTCAATATATCTTGAGTATATTTCTTTACTTTCTTGAACTCCTACGTTTGGGGGGGGGGGTTAATATTTTATTTATTTATTTTTAGAGAGAGGGGAAGGGGAGAAAGAGAGGGAAACATCAATGTGTGGTTGCCTCTCACATGCCCCCCACTAGGGACCTCTACTGCAACCTAGGCATGTGCCCTAACTGAGAATCAAACCTAAAACCCATTGATTCACAGGCTGGCACTCAATCCATAGAGCTACACCAGCCAGGGCTTGAACTCCCAAGTTTAACTGTAATAACTATGACTCTAGTTTTCTTAACTATTTAGGTTAACCAAGAGCTCAAGGCCAGACTCAGGCATTCCCTGTTGGAACTGAGATACCTATGAGGCAAGTAGGCTAGATGAAATGCTCCAAGTTCCTTGGCATTCTCTTTAGTTTGTAATAACCATTACTT